CCATCACCAACGCGTTATTTTTTATCAGCTTTATTTTCAACTGGACATTTGGAGGTACAAATAAGGGAGGCAGATGTACTTGAAACACTCAAATAAAGGCTGAGGAATTATCCATGAGAATGTATAACATTTGCCAGAAAATAAACGCAGGCAGTACTTGGATTCCAAAGAACAAAACTGTCTCACAGTTCATTCATCATTGTGCTGACCCACTTGATTTTCCAGTTCCAGAAAAGTTGGTAGTTTTTGAGCTTGTTAGTTAAGGAGGCCATCAGAGTTGGTACGTCTCAAGTGTGACCCAGCAACTGCATTTCAGTGGGCAGCCCATCGTGCTGTCCCCTCAGTCTCCCCCTCCTCTTGGCTCAGAGGGGCAGGCTGGGCATTGGGGAAGAATTTTCCGCCTCAGAGCCCTCTGTCGTTGCAGTGCCTTGCTGCTGAGCAAAATCAGAGCACAGCAAAACCCAGTGGCAGCTCAGCGTGCTTGTCTAGACACCCCGGGCTCATCACCCAGACCCTGCCATGCTGCCCAGTCTACCCCCACAGAGAACGGATCAGTCTCTCAGGGATTACTTGATTCCTTGTGTCCCAGACAGCAGATGGGAGCCAAGGAGCAAATTAAAGTTGTTTTAGCTGCAGTGGCCCCAGGGGATCTGCAGAATGCAGCACTGCTCCGGCCATGCCCTTTTCACCGCCTGCCCTTTCTTGTGTCAGAGGAGAAATGAGGGTAATTCCCAGCTGTCTACACAGCTGTACCCTTTCCAGGGCTCTTCTGACACCTGGGAAATCCTTCTGCAGCCAAACAGCTTTAGGACTGCTTGGCTTTGTCCTGTAATACTAGAGGGTCTCACGGCAGGCTTACCCCGGCTGAGCTCTACTTCCCACATGCCATCTTTGTGTGTGGCTAAGCTGCTAGCCCGGCTGAAGTGGGAATGGAAAACATCTACACGTGCTGACAAAGAATCAAGGCTGGGATGGCTGCTGTGGTATGGACAGCAGTGTGACTCTACGGCAGAGGAATGACAGCCCAGGCCGGCGCTAAAATGCTGTGCTAGTGAGTAAGAGATCAGACAAAGCTTTATTCCTGAGCACAGGCTAATGTGTAAACACCAAGCTTCAGAGGCAAGTCTGGGCTTAAATGCAAGCTCAGACCTGTGCTTGGCAGAGTGTAAACCCAGCTATGTGACTTCAGCAGGGTCAGGATGTGGCCATTAAGATTACAAAAAAACCCTGTAAAAATACCTGGCAATTTTTGGCTTCTTATTTCAGTGTTATCATTAACAAAGAGGCAGTACACGTCTTTGATGGCTTTTGCAACTTTTGTCTCGTGAAGCTAAAAAATTTTCCAAGATTTCCACAAAATGGTATCAGGAAGGAGGAATACGAATATTTTTAAGTCTTGCAACAGTAAGGACCCATATTCCTTTCAGTTTTACCAAGTTAGCTCATAACTGGTGTCTCTTGTCTTTGCCTGCCCTGATTGCTAACACAGCTAACAGTTCAAATTTGGAAGGAATTTCCTACTGGTTTTATCTTCCAAAATCTGAGTCCTCATATAGGTTGCTATGCTTCATCTAGCTCAGGTTTCAGAGATAATTGACTCTTAACGATTTCCCAGGATCTATTCAGTTCTTGAAGAATCCACACAATTGGGACTACACCATGTTTAACTTAGAGGGAAGGGTACAGAGTGGATTTTATACTATGTGGGTCACTCCTGTGAGTTTTCCAGTTTGGGTTAACCTAGATTTCAATGATTGCGTGCTCATTATAGAGAAAAGTGCAATCATGAGTAATAGTAATAAAAAGTTCTTTTATCAAATTCCGCCTGTATTTTTAAATCAAAATAAAAGCTTCACAAAGTTCACATTCAAATAGCTGGAATCTGTAATATCAGAAAAATGTCATAGCATTTCTAAACCCAAACCAAAAGTAGTCTTCCCTGGAGTTTTGTCCATGCCTGCTTGGCTCAGAATCATGACAGGTGGTGAATCTGATGGCTTCTGACAGTGGATAATCTCTAACTCTTAGAAGTACAAGGATTTCTTAATTGCATGGGTTTTTTTGTTGTTCTGGTTTGTTTTGTTTTGTTTTTTTTTTAAATAAACCATAAATATTTTAAACAAAAGTTAGGTGAAACAAAGCAACTAAGAAACGAATACAGAATCATAACACAACCAGATTAGGCCTTCAGATGATGTTAAAGCTATATAGTAATACAACAGCTTTAACCGAGCTGTGTTGTATTAGCCCCTTTTTAACTCTGCTATGCAATTGCAGTTACAAATAGCCTTAGAAGATGTGCTGATGCCCAAGGAAAAAACTGGATTTTTTGATTCTGAAAAAAGGGTATTTGTTTGGCTTGGTCTGTATTTGCCACGCACTCTAATCTGGACCAGTTGCTTACAGGAGATAAAAATAATTTCAGATAACAGTTGAATAACCCAAAAAAGTCTGTGTTTGTATAGAGGAATCACCAGTTCACTAATGTGAAGTGAAATTAAAAATTTGTCTTAATTATTTTCTGGATTTTTTACATTTTAAAATACGTGAACAGAGCAGACTTGTTTATCCAACCTGAGGTAACAGCAGCAGTCACCTCTTCAATGTAAGAGTTCTAAACTGCTGGCTGCATGACAGAGAGAAGCGTGACACCAGAAAAATATCATAGGAGATATGAAAGAGGAATTTGATAAGATGGGTTATCTAGAAGTAATGAGACTTTAAGATGGATAACACCTCAGTTTGATTTCTCATTTATAGAAGTTATTGTGCAATTTTAAAAGCATGCGTTTATGTTCCTTATACATTCATATCTTACCACTACTCACTTTTTCATCTTTCTTAATAAAAAGGGTTAACGTTGCCAGAGATGTTTAAAGTGCCACATACAATGCCACCTTTCCTGTTGACTCAGATCCTGCCACACACAGACATGGGGACAAAGTCTTACTGCGACTGCAAGCTGGACATGGCTAAGAACAGGGGACATTTGGTGGCTGCAGCAGTTCCATGCAGAAGTATTTAACAAGAACTAAGAGAACTACAGTGTTTCTGGTTAAAAACTCATACCGGTGTATGAAGGCAGGATGTGTGGGTAGCTAAGCAGAAGGAAAAAGTTTTATTTGCAATGGAAGTTAAAAAAACCCGTAACACATGGAAAAGGATCAGTACACGGGGTTCAGCGTCACACCCGCCACAAGCAAGCAATTGGCGGTAATGCACTGCGCTCACTACAGATTGGAAAGGAATTTAAGATCAAAACAAATGCATGAACATACAGTCAGAAGATGCTCCATTTATGGTAGATAGCATTTTTTATTGGGTATCCTAAAATGTTTACAAAGTAGAAGAGTTAAAAAAAATACTTTGTAACCATGTAAATAAATGAACGGGAAAGAACTGAAATACAGCTGCTGCAATGGAAAGCAGAGTAATTATATCAAGGGTATAAAAATATTACTGGGGGGCCTACTTTAAACCAAAAGAAGCCCTAATACTCTTTCAAATGTGAGCATGTGGCAAGCCGTGCTCCTGAGAGCAGATGTACCTCCACAGGATTTGTAAGAGCAGAACAAAAAGTCCCATATGTGCTCAGGTTAAAAAGCACTCCCCAGATAAAAATTATCAAATTGGTATACAGACCTGTCCACAAAAGAGGATGCAGAAGATAATCCTTAGGAATTTGATTAAGTGCTTAAGAGCCTATAATGCAGTCAGGAAGTAATAGGCTACATTATTACAGGTACCAGTGTATTTATGTATTATGTAAACCCTGTTGGCACTTAAAGTTAACCTAAAGAGTGAGGCTGACCAAATGCTAAAATGAGACTTTATTGCGACAATATTGATATTAAAAGGATGAATTAACTCTTCCGTTACTGTAATAAAACATACAAAAAATGTTCATAGTTCCACTACAATAAAACCAGCCAATACTGAGTGTTCCTTCATGGGGCCAATTGAGAATACTGATATTTCTAGATAAAGTCATTCTGGCACATCCTTCTTGACAGAGAAGCTATAAAAGCTGCACTCATAACTCCCATTCTAGAAATGTAGAAAAAGGCATCTTGGGATCATCAGTTGCATACAATAGTACTAAAATAACAGTATGGTTTAAAAAATAAAAACAACCCGAAGATCTCTATCAATGTAAACACACATAGGTTGGGAACCACCCAGCAGGATTTCTGCTGACCAGCATCATCTGTGTAAAACTGAGGTTTCTATAATGTAGAAGAACACTTCCTACTGCTCAGAAGAACTGAGGCTGTAAAAGTGCATATCAGCTGTGAAATGCAGGAGATTCTAGTGGCTTATACTTCCCTATAGTAAAATTGAAAAACTGCAAGAAAATATTTTTTTTTGAAATATGACTCAATGCTATTATATCTTTCCAGAACACAAAGCGATATGATAAACTCAAATATGAATTTAAAAAATGACTCAAGCTTATCAGAGCCTGAGAAGATAACTCCTGGTGCAGTTAGTGACTGCACTGTTTTAGGTGATGGGGTAGAGGGAAAAACCCGCCATGATGTACCCAGGAAAAAAAATCCCCTCTCTTAAAAAGGAAAGGTGATAGGAGCTGGCCTACCTTCTTAACTCGGTCTGTATTTCCACACTCCATTTGCATTTGAGATCTCTAGTTACAGTCATTGTACCATCCTCTTTTTATTTAAAGAATAAAAACTTACTACATTAGTACCACTCCCAACACCAGCCTTTGTTTGGCTAAATATTCACCCTGCATGCATTTAAATACCTACAAACTTCATATTGCTGGGATGCTTTGGGGTTAAAACAGACATGACTTGTCAACACCTGGTGTCCACCAAAACTAATCCAACTGATCAGAAGATGAGCCTGCTGTGTCTTGTAAAGTGCTCCCAACTACATTTCCAGAGGTGGACATGCTGCTCTTGTAGAGATGAATGCAGAGTGAGGAAGGCATGCGGCTTCTGTTTTGGTAATATGTGATCTCATGGTTTATTTTTCAGACCACAACAGCCCCGCTGCCCACAAAGGAACAGTTACAAAGGTCCTCAAGCTATCCAGGAAAAAAAGATATCACTTAAGGTAGAGCAATTACTTGGCTGCTATATATATATATATATATACATATTGTACTGCTATATACTGAAAAATAATTGGGCGGTTTGATTTAAGAACACAGGTACTTAATTTTAAAATTGGTCTTTCCTTGGCTAGCATTGTAATGATATATTTTTACAACTAGAAGTTTTGCTTTTTAACATTATTACTGTTGAGACATGTCAAAACTCTTCAACTTGGCTTCACATTTTAAATAGTATTCTTAAATGTAAACAATAATGGTGCTCCACTGAAAGCAATTTTAAAGACCCATGATCCATGTTGTCAGCCTGAAGGGAAATGGGGGAATTAAAAACTGGGAGAAATATTCCAGTAGTAAAAGCTACAGCAGAATAGACAGCACAGAGTGCAGCACTCTGGCTGTTTTTAGAGCTGTATCAGTCACAGGCCATTCAATCGTATATCAGCACAAACCTTCTGTAGCACTAACATTCCCTTGTTGTCTCACAGAGTACGAATACGTCAACGTCTCTCACATAATTTCTTCAATACTGAAAGCACAGAAAAATAAATTTTGAGAAATAGGGTTTCAGGATGCTGGCTCTGGAAAATAACTATCAGAAACTAAACAAATCCATGCCAGAACACAGCCCTGGGGAATGACAATACCTCTCAGCCAAAAAGAGAAAATAAAGATGACCCTTCAAATCACTGCATGTAGACTGCCAGCACAGGTACTCACTGACCAATTGACGCTCCTGCAGATTGTTTGTGGAAAGCATCAGTGATCTGTCAGGCCTAGAGCAATCATGTGTAATAAAGCTCATCTGTTATGGGTACCTACTTGTGTTGCATAGCTAGGCAGAGAAAGCATTTTCTTCTTGCTAAAAATACTTCCTTCCCCTCTCTGAAATGGCAGAAGTATAACTTCGCCTGACCTATTTTTCGTCCTTATTCATTCTGTGGAAATCTTACAGAATTGACATCTAATTTCCAGGTGCTGTTGCTAGCTTCCTAAATTATTAACGAGCATAATAATTATCCCTTTTCATCATCACATGGGACAGGGAATAGATGCAAAGATTACAGTCACATTACCACCCTCCTAGCCAAGCATGTTTACGATATCAAAAGATCCCTCTACCAGTTTCACTCAATAAGCTGTACTACACACGCATTTTATGTCATGGTCTTATGATATATTGTGCTGGTCTACTCTAACTATATCAGCAGTGACCCGTGGTAGAGCACAAAAAGTACAGGGGAAATATGGACCAAAATCAGGGATGTTTGACTTGTTTACTGTATTCAAGAGTGGTGCCAGGTGGAACTAGAAGCCTTCAGTGGCACTGTGTGTGCTGGGTCTGGCACGGGCTTACAAAGAAGTGAAAAAATTAGAGGAGCAGAGGGGAGGTGGGACTGCTGACAGGATGTTGTCAGGGAACTATTGAGTAACAGCGAAGCTTCAGACATCTTGAAAATGTTTGGAATGACTTCAAAGGTGAAAGCAAGGGATATTTCTATGCCACAGTCTCTTCACAGCTCTACCTGTACCAGCAGAGCTGTGTCAGCAGGGCTTCCTATCAGCAAGGTGGCCAACAGGAAGAGCTTTTCTGCCAAATTAGCTGTCCCGTCTCCCAGGGCCAATGACAGACATCCTCATCTAGCCCTTCTGGCTGAGTTGACTGAAGATGTTCTGCTTCACACTTGTCCTTCAGCATCTGCCAGCCAGGAGTTACCACCCCACAGCTGGGCCCACATGAGAAATCCTGTGAGCATTCTCTCATGCTTTGGACAAAGCTGGATGAGTTAGCACTAACCACTTCCATCAGCACTTTAAATCATGCCATGGACCTTGCCTGAGGTGGGCTAGGGCACAAACACTTCTGCCCTCACACAAAGGGGGCTGCAGCCTCCGGAAGAGCAATACCAGCCTACAAGACGATAATAAGGTCTTCCATGGTCACAGCTGTTTGCAAGGTGAATTTCTTCATGGCCTGAACAACCTAAAGCCAGGTAACAAAAGCACATGCTGATCAACAGTGGTACATCTACACCTGTAACTTTTTCTGGCACAGCTGTATCAGCAGCCCTTCGCGGGGCTGGAGCTCGAAGCCACAGCTTGAGGCCTCCTGGATTCAGCTGTACCCACTGAAGATGATTTTGTTCTCAGCTGTGAGGCATAGAGACTTTCGGCCAGACTTCAAGAGACCAGGCTCTGGTCTGAGCCACCTGTGGGAAAACAGGGCAGGCAGTTAGCAAAACACTGAGAAGAGAAATCAGAATGAGATAAGGGGAGTCTGGTTGCAGGTGGAAAACAGGGAACTGGAGCCCAATGAAGCGGGATGGGACAAAGAACTAGTAAATAACCAAGTGATCTGGACAACTGCTTGTGCCCTCCTGCTGCCCTGCCCATCTGCTTGGAATTTACTTTCAGAACAAGTCCAATTTTCCTTATGTCTGCCCTCATCCAAGCTCCCTTCTTGTCCTTTATGGATCCAGCGCTGTCACACAAAATCATTTAGAGCAGAAAAGCCGAATTAAGAAACAAAGAACACTTATTGTTTAACATACCCATTCTTCACCCTGATAAGTTTCTTTCAGCTTCACTTTCTCTTCACTTATTCAGGTCAGAGTCTTCTGGCTGGTTTATTACAGGCACTTAAACCCAACAGTGATTTTATATGACCGCCTGACTGTGTTACAAATTCATCACAAGTCCTGGCTGTGTCTGACATTTAGGTCCAAACAACTGCATACTGTTAGAGAACCCCCAGCCCCCATGAAATACATTCACTGACCTCCCCTTCCAGAAGAATGAGGTCATCAGTATAATGAGCTTTCCAATCGATCTGTAAACAGCCTGATTCACAATTTTCCTCTACGAAAGAGAAGTTATGAAAGGAGCAGTTTGAACAAAAAGGGCTTCAGCTCCACCCAGTGGTAATGAGAAGATTTCCAAACCATTCCCCTGCCCATGCTCTGGGTACCTGGTACCAGGCAGGTACACACCACTGTTTTTTCAAACTGAGGCCCTGGAGACCTCTGCTTGGACACTGCTGTCTTACAGCTTGAGCTGTTACAGGTCTGAACAGTGTTCTTTCCTTAGAGGCCCATGACTTCAAAACCTGGGGATTAATTGTTACTCTGAGATTATATACATCAGCCATCACCATTATCTGGTGTTTGCAAATATTGAACATTTCTCTTCACTAACCATCTTCCAAATAACCAGAGTCATAGCACCATGACCTCTTCTCTCTCTGCAGTGATTTTGGGAGTGGTTAAGATGTAAAACTTCTCTTTTCTAACTCCTACACCTGCCTTTTAACCACTTTTTTTTTTTTTTTTTTTTTTTTATTTCTCTGATGAGGCACCACTTTCTGACATAACTCTTGAAACTACTTTTAGAATTGGGGATGCTTTTAAGGAAGGTTTTTCTTGTCCAAGTTTTCAGGAACAGAATGGCTCTCTACATGAGCTTTACAGTTTGAATGACTGGGACCTTGACAAATCCAAAGCCAGCTCCAGCTCTGTTGATTGACCAATAATTAAATAGTTCACATCTGACCTAATTAATGCTCAAATACACATCAGCAACTCTTAGGCTCTGAGGCACAAATTTGTAACAGGTGAGGGTCAGGCAGATGCCATCACCTCACCAACCCCAAAAAACCCCTCAGTATCTACATCAGCTAGATGCATCGTGCTTTTTGGGTGGTACCGAAGCTCTGCTTTGTGACTCTCTGGGGAGCAGGCTCTGGATTAGATGGACTCAGGTCCTGTGTACAACTGTAAAATGTTAGAAACCTTTATTCTATTTCTTAACACTGTTCCTGTCCTGCCTGCCTGCCTGCCCCAGGTGCTCTTTCTTAACTTTTTGGAAGGCGTGTCTCACTTTTACCTCTTTATTACCCCCATGTCAGTGTCATTATTGTGGTTATATTTACATTTCAAAGTGTTGTGCCTGTAGCATTTCCCCATAAGTTTTGAGATTATAACTAGATGCAGTGCCTCATTTTCAGCTAAATAGTCCAAAACATATGCAAAGTCTGAAATATATTTTAAACCAGTGTTGTGCTGCATGTAAGCAAAACTGTGGGGGTTTTTCTCCTGTCTGAAAAGCTTCCAAACCTATTCACTTCAAGCATTCCCTTGTGTGCTTTCTCTCTCACCTACACAGAAGCCCATATTTATTTTCATTTTAAAAATATTTTCACCACAAAACTGGTATGATATGCTTAGCTATCAAACTATATCACATTCATCAATTAAGGTTTGAAAATTATGCGTGAATGACATGAAAAAAATTCAGCCAGTCTTTCTTCTCCCACAGAAAATCTAACTTGTAAAACCAGTATTTCACAACATTTTATAGTAGCTATTTAATTCTTCAGCTCATCAGTGACAAAACCAGATAAAGCTAGTTTTATGAGCAGTAACAATTTGTGCAATGCATCGAGTAAAGCGCTATTATGGTTTTACTTAGAGGAGAAAGGGAAGTAGCCAATTTGGGCAGGCTTGAGCACACATGTATTAACATCAGTCTGTGAAGTGGCAGGAAGGTGAAGAAAAGGTGGGTTGTGTAGAACAGGAGAAAGGGGGATTCCTGGGGGAACCTAAAGGAGAAGGTTGTGCCCCCCATCCCCACATTGCTTCTGCTACCAGCAACACCACAGAAAAGCGGCAGAACTGCCTTGATTTGAATTCAGAGGGCATTTTCTCTACCAAAAGAACTTAAAATTTGACCCCTTGCTAGCACACATCTATAATGCCAAGGGAGTCCGGGAACGCTGTGCTTTGAAATAACACCCGACTGCCAAAGAACTCCATTTTCTTTGCTCAGGCAGCCCGACTTCTTCAGCTCTTGGCTTGTGCTTGGGGGCCCTGCTACGTGACACCACGCAGAGCGGGCACATTGCGAGACAACCTCTTCCATCTCTGACAGCCACATTCACGTGGGCCACGAAGGCAGGAGTGTTAGCTTAGGTGCACCTTTCCTGGGCAGCTCAGTACGTCCTCCTTTGAACCTCTGCTGCATGGGTGTGACTCCCAACACCTGACCAAACCAGGTAGCCCGCTGCTAGAATATTGCTTGGGGGAATCGAACGTGTGTCTTTTCACTGATCTCTCCCTTCTGCATAATTTAGAGAGGCAGCATCCCTAACCCTAACCTTTCTTGGCAGATACAATCAGTTGCCCATCAATTTGGGGATAATGAAAAACCAAGATCACTTTCTGCATGTTTATCGGATGCCTTGAGCGTACTGTGAGCAAAGCCAGCAGCATCTTTGACGAAGTGTAACCCCATTCTCCCTCAATCTATGCCCATCCCCCTACCTTTTGAGTAGTGCTATTGGCAGTTGAGGAGATTCTTGTCAATTTAGGGTATTTTTATAATGCAGGAATTTTATTTGTATGAAAGGTCTTTTTTTTCCCCCCACATTGTGTAGGGAAAACAAAATATATGAGAGATATAGCAGGCAAATTTATAAGAAAAAGGTTTCTCTTTACAGCCAGAGCAGTTATTATTTCAGTCTTCCCTTTTCTGTGCCATATAGCAAAGCCAGAAGAGAAACATTATGGTTTTTTGTCCTTCTGTCACTACCACAAGTACCTTTTTTCTGGCCTTTGATTAAACCTTTGGCTAAATACAGCCTGATGACACAGCTCCAAATATTCCTTTAACACTCGGGAGAATTTTTGTGGAGGAAGACATTCAGAGCTTCCAAAGATGACCAAACCCACAGTTCATATTTCACTTAAGTTCTATCAGGTAGATTAAACCCTGGATAGAAAGAAGCATCAAGCTGCCAAGCAGATTACTGTTAGACTACAACAAACAAACAAGGAAAGAAAAACAAAACAAAACAAAACAACTCCAGCTTTTACCAGTCAGCAGTAAAGCTGAGGGGCAGAAATACTTCGATATTTTCACGAAACATTAACCTTCAGACATAATTACTACAGGCACTGAGATTGCACCTGAAGGCTGCACTGTTGGGGAGAATTGCTGTAAAACTGGCCTGCAGGGCAAGAACGTGGCAGGTAAACAGAAGCAATGTCTGTGCAGAGATAATGGGATACAGGTCAGCGCATAAAAGCATAGCTTTAGGGGATGGAAGTGCTGGTACTGACAGGAGATTTTTTGCCACTTTTCACATACCAGCAAAGGCGATGGTGACTCGTTTGACATTGCATGAACATTAATCTTTGAAAACAGATACTACTGAAGCATAATAAGCTGGGCAGGGCAGGGAGGGGAGATGAAGCCAATGCTATCCCCACTAAAATCTTGTTAAAATTCTAAAACCATTTTAATATCTGAAAAAAAAAATAATTAAGCTAGATTTACTCTGAACAGTTAAACATCTACATTTTACCTCGAGATCTGAGATAAAAGGAGCAGATGTCTCAGTCTTTGCAAGATTTCCAGCCCTATTTTGCAGATCCATGAGTTAAGGAAGAGACAAAGGACAAGCATCCAGAATCTTGCGTGGTTATACGGTCCCTATCTCCTGCCTGTATTACCTGGTATCTGTAAAACAGAGTGACTGAGGTTGTGTGCTGTTCCTTCTGAAAATACAACACATGGGGGACAAGACAGGACAAAGGAAGCTAAAAATCAGCTTTGGGTGGCTCTGATTTCTGGACCACTGCATTATTCAGTGTGATGCCCTTCCTGATGCTGGTATATTTATATGTGTATCAGGTCAATATCTAGCCCAAAATGATTTCTCCTTCTTCAAGTGTTTGGGGTAGAGAGATCTATTTAAATTCCCAGTACTTCACCACTCAGCCTGACCTTTAAAATGACTCTATCAGCTCAAAAGTGTCCAGAAGGTGTATGCAAATATAAAAGATGTAATTGTTAAAGCTCACATTTCAGAGAACGCAAATAAGAGAGAGGTGGAAGGGGGCCAGGTCTGTTTGGGGTGTGATTTGCAGAGACAACTGAACTGGAAGATCCCAGTGTTAGCAGGCACAGGCAAAACGGTACAGAACAAGTTCTGAACTGCAACCATTGCTGCCAGAGCTCTTCTTCGCCTTCCACCCTTTCTCTACCTGGGGTAAATGTTGTGGTGTGTGTCAGGGATTAAGGGCCCTGGCCCATACCACTTAAGAGCACAATCTTATTTGAAAATTCAGTTCCTAAATCTTTTTAGCGAAAAATCACAACTTACGGTGCATCATCTCTTGTCCATCTTCTCCCATTATTTGAATCGGGTTTTTAAATACAGGAAGGGAAGAAGCTGTAATTTATCAAGTCCCAATGATGTCTAATCATCTATAAGGAAGGATGCAGTGTGGGCCGAGCCTTCCCGCCCAGCCGGCAGCAGTCCCACTATCCCGTTTGGAAAACAGAAGCAACGCAGCTAGTTAACGTGCCTTCCCGGATTGTCTGGTGAATACTGGAAAAAGGAAGACTATATGAGCACACAGAACTGCTTTTTGTGTTTTAGAGATAACGTGACAAAACCAGCTTTCTCCCATGCTCCATTGAACTAAACATAAAGGATTTCTGCTCCTCGCAGCCGAAGCCGTGCGTTCAAGACTGCAAGGATAGTGTAGTATCACTTTGGATTTGCTTGTGTCATCTCAGGAATCTGCAAGCTCTGATGACTATGATAAATTTGTGCTTTAAAACCACTAATGCTTCAGTCAGAGCTGTGCTCAGGAGACTTTATAGCACTATTCTTGTCTGCCTTCAACTCTGCAGGGGTCTGCTCCGGCTCCAGAGACCTGCGCTTGACAAGAGAGGCACCGCAGCAGGAATGACTGACTCCAGAAGGTGCATGTCCAACCTATTTTCCTGCCTCCACGATCTGCAGCATACAATCATGAACAGAAGTCTTGTTTCTGGGTTGATTTTCTGTTCCTGGCAAACCGGGTGCCTTAGCAAGCGGCGAATACGCCATGTTCCCATGTGGGTATCATTGCGTTGTAGCTTAGCATAAAGTAATGGTAGACCCCACAAAATCTCTGCAGAGAACATACTATTAGAATCCTCAGATGCAGATAAATTTCCTTCATTCAGGACTTCCTTCGCACATTTTGGCCTGAGCTGCAAAGGCCAATCTTCACAGGATCCTCTGCTCTTTGAATAACACACTGAAATGTGCAGGTAACCTTCCCCAGGCAATTAGCACCCTCCAAAATGTTGCCTGAGGTGGCACAAAACCCGAGTCTCTTTTTAGCTCCGTTTCCAGTGAGCAAATAATCCAGCCCATGTGACTGTATAGTTCATTCTCCTCGGGATTTCTGTGGACTTGGAGCACATGGGAGAAATGAAAGTGCCTGATATGGGTAACAAATTTCCATCCCTGCAAAGTTGATGCAAATTTTGGTGTTCCCATGGCTCTGGCAGGGTTTGCATGGTTGCACGCAGAACGGCCTTGCTGTGCCTGCTGTTTGGCTGGCTGATAGGCCCGGTGGGTGCCATCGTGCATTTCTACACAGTGAATCATTAATTCTAACATCCACACACAGCCACAGTATTCTTATTGTATGTACTTCCAACAGTTCCCTTCCTTTTCCCCCACCTGAACCCCTGCTCTTTTTATCCCAGCCCAGTTAATTTTGCAAGGTATTCTGGCCCTCCCATCCTTGAAGAAGGATCCCAGATTTGCAGCCTGAGCAGTCTTGTTAGCACAGTCGTGCTGTTCATCCTGAGGTCAAAATAAATGCTTAACAAGATCTCAGAACTGCAGTTCATGACCATTTACTACCGTCCTTTTCAGACAGATTCCTACTCACCTTTCAGTCTGATAGTAATCTTCTGATCTCCTTTTTAAGCAACAGCTTTCCAGGTGTTATCCAGTATTTGTCCAAAGCTCACGTAGCTGGACCTGTTGCATATCCCTTCTGAACAAGAGATATTACCACCCCTTGTTCACAGAAACACATGGTTCTTTACTCGTAGCCTCAATGTTTGATCTTGTTTGTCGGGTTAAAATTTTGTCACGGGAAAATAGGTTACATGGCGAAGAACCTTCAGAAATATGGTGTGTGAAGGCTACGGACACAACTTTTACCACCTCTTCTACCGCTTAATTCCTGAAAATTTTTCCCCGAGTTCCAGAGTGATGGCCCTGTGGGTCCAGTAAATGAGGTAGGCTTGCTCAAACTGAAAGAGGAAGAATTTGGATTTATCACTAGTCTGTTAACGTGGATCCTTCACATTGTTATCTCAGTTGTGGAGATGTGCGGTCTTGGTTTAGTCAGTCAAAACGAGAGAAGTCAGTGTAGGCCAAGAGTTAATAAAAACCCCCAACTGTATAGCCCAATATTTACAAGGCATTATAGAAATGCAACTCTACTCATGTGCACGAAACAGCAAACCCCGATGTTTTTTTTTTTTTTTATTAGAGCTGTGTGAGGGTGGGAGGGCTGAAGTGGAGAGGGTCAGGCAAAGCAGTTGCCTGCGCTGCACTACAAGAACATGCTTCTGTGCTGAAGGCGGCAGTAGCCAACTTACCGAACCCGTAGGATCACAGCGGGACCCAGGCACACACCCTGCGGGGACAGGACAACTTCTGCAGGACCAGCAAGAAAGATCTACACAAAGCAGCCAGGGGAAACGCGCTGTGAATGCTGTTCCACTTGTGGGTCAGCTCTCCAGCCCAGCAAGCACGCCTGGGAGGTGCCGCATCGTCCAGGAGACCATCTCAACAGAACTTTTCAGGCCTACTCAAAATTACTCCTTAGTGATATGAAGCAGAGATTAAAGATTGCTGCTCCTTCTCCTGCAGCGGTACGGTTTTATTTCACTTGAATTCTAGACTTTGGAATAGAGAAGATGCTCTGCAAGCACCACCTTCCCTCCTAACAGCCAAAAATCTTTCTTCCTAATGTACCCTCTCTCTGCGCAGTTTTTCTAGGAGTTCTGGTAACAAGTTGGCTCTTTGCACAGATGCCCCCCTGGGAAGCTCTATTTCTTTGGATGTTTTCCCCTTAACAGTTTCATACAGGTCCTGTTCACGTTTTTCCATTTGTCCTTATTCCTAGGCTCTTTCCTCAAACATCACTAAAGAGCTGGGGAGTAGAAGTCAAGCAGGAGGAAAGGCGTGTGAAAAGGGAGGTCAATTTGAATGTCAGATATCTACTGACTCCTAAGCTGCCCGAGTTCAGAGTGACTGGAAACCACAGCGTTATACGGTCGTTGTTTGACAGCCCAGGAGCAATCCTTCACCACAGTTCTACTAAATGGATCTCCCCTACACAAAGGCCTGCTGCTGCTAAGGGCTGTTTTGTTCTCTGCAAGAGCAAGGATTGAAATGCCCTTTAATTTTCAGCATGGTTTGTCCAACTCATCCATGCTGGTATCAGGAAAGCCTATGATTATTGCTGTGCGTGCACTCCTCATTTTAAGCTATTTATTAACAACATCAGTGCATTATTGCACAGCTATTAATCATTAGCTAATTCTTCCTAACAAATATCACTTCTGTAAGAGAGAAATGTTTCAGACCAGTCCGTGGGTAGGAAGGAGAGACTTGTTATTTAGCTAGTCAGCATCTGCTTTGTCCTCCTTTTTATGTCCCTAGTACTTCAGGAGGACATAAATTAGAGGGCAGCGTGTGTGGGAAGTCTACGTGGACTTTGCCACAGTGACAGATCTTGACGTAGTCTCAGAGAGGACCGAGTGAGTTAGCAGGGATGGCCTAAGGCTTTCGGGAAAGATGAGCATTTTACTGACAGCAATTCAAAGCATATTGAATTGCAAATGTTATCCCTGAACCAGTTTGCTGATAGTGCATGTAGCACAAGTGTATTTGCCCAGGATACTCAACATACTTGTTTTTCATGCTGATAAGGGAGCGGTGGTTAAAGAAACACTTGTAGCAATGAGTGTGTTCGTGTCACGCATGCATAGGATTCATTTATCAAATTCATTCTAGACTCACTCTAGTAGAGGCCCGTCCAATAGCTATGGCCCTTAAAAGCCAAAAAATGCAGTGGGAACCTGGAGAAATGGGAAAAGAATGGCCATACAGTCTGGCACCAGTGTGGTATGTACTCAGACAGCCATTTACACAGGTATAAAAGAGACTAAGACACAATTAAAAACTTACATGTGGAGTCTTGACGATGAAAATGCCAAGCCTCACATGGAGGAACTACAGCTAGGTTGAAATAATAACTCCAAGACTCGTGAGCCAACAGATTTTCTCCCTCCAACGGCTGGGGTGACCTTTCCCATGGGGCGGGCAGCCAGCTTGTCATCGACTGGGCTGGGGCCAGTTAAGCAGATTCCGCATCGCTGGACTCCTCCATGTTCGTTACCAGCTGATGCAAGACCTTCGGGTGGCCCTTCTGACGAGTCCACCAGAATGGGCTCTGTGACAACGCACATCCCATCTTTGACCAAAGTCAACTGCAAACGTTACACTGAAAGGTATAAAACCCTCATTGACAATATAAAATTTCAAACTATTTAATTGCATCCTGCTTTGTGTTTGTGGGGTCAGCACCCAAAGTACTGATTTGCTGATGCCCCAAAGGCTGTGGGACAATAAAAGCCCTTTTACCTTAATGCCAAATAGCGTAATGAACATGTCTGGAGCAAGAGCTGCTTTTATTGTTTAGGATGAGGAAGAGGCTAGGTTAGCATTTATTTCCTCAACCTGGAAGGGCAGGTATTGTTGGGGAGCATGAGTATGACATATATACTGCAGGCCTGTCCCAGTTGGAGAGAATAAATCTGTATCAGCATAGTCCTGCATCTGGGAAAACTGGAGAGAAAGGTGTGACTACAGTAGAGCTGCACAGAGCAAAATGGCCAAGGAAACACCCGTCCAAGGAGAGCTGCACAGAGCAAAATGGCCAAGTCTCCGTCTCCCGAACAGCGAGACCGAAACCAGCCAAAGACTCAGATCCTAAAGATACTCAGATCCATCTGAAATCAGAGCATTTCCGAACCAAAGACTAGCCAAGCTCCTTAGCAAGGGAACAAATCTCAGTGGCCCTACGGGCACAGTGTCAGTTTTGACCTCTTGTCGTTGAATGCAGGAGCTGCTACCTGGGGCAAACAGACACCCCTCAGCACCAGGGGGGTCCCCGAATGATGGGGCATACGCGTTCCTGTCGTCTCATTTCTATTCTGGGCAGCCACAAACTGCTCTTCCTTCTTCACCCAGCTCCTCTCTCTACTCCTCCTCTCAGCACCTCTGTGTCGGGCTGCGGCTCGCTGAGCAGGGGAGGGAGGCAACCGACTTCCCCCGGCGCTGCCAGCGCGGCAGCTCCGGCCTGACCCGCAGCACCGCCACCACTCCAGCCTGGCAGCGGCAGGGCCGGCCGCTGAAACCGGGTGACATGACACAAACGTCGGCGTAAGACAGGTCTGGGAGGGCTCCCCGGCTTATTTTAGGAGTGGCTGTAACCAGCAGTCAGGGTCCCAGCAGGGAGTGGCTAACGAGATCATTTGAGTAGTTTTGAACAGGACTTGAAAAGCCACTAGCAGCACTATAACCGTAAATGGCTCTTTTAACCCAGGATTTCTGATCTCCGAGATAACCCATGCTCACTCTTCATAGACTCCTCTGGTGCCAATCCATCTCGGCAGATAACTCGGGCGTTCCAGCTAACGCTCAGCTTCTGTCCCTAACCAGAACAGGAAATGCTTCGCATACAGGTGGGAGCATTAACGCCTGTGATATTATGCTAACTCCCTAGAGGACAGTCATTACAGCAAAAAAAAAAAAAAAATCCAGTCTAGCCCTTCAGGAAAACTTCCTAGCAGCTGTTAGACCACCAACGCGTTGGCAGAAGTCTCATAAAAACATGTCAGCCGTGATTGAACAGAGCATTACTGCGCACGCAATAGTGAGCTGCGAGAGGGACGCAGTATCCTGCCTCCTGGGTCTTTGCATCTTTCCCTTTTAGGCACGCAGCTTATTCCCGCATCACAGTTGTCAAGTCAGCAGTTGGGGCAGATGGACTTTCTGTTTTAAGCTCCTTATTTTGCCAAAGCCACAATCTGGAATTGGCCCGCAGGGAATGTATTTCTTTCAGGAAAAAAAAACCCAAAACAACCCATGACCAAAAAAAAAAAAAAAATGTTACTGAGGGAGTAGCAATCTCTCTGCCCTTCAGTCAACCCCAGAGGAGATGCTATGTATTTTATCAGCTTTTTTAGCCTCACTGGTTACTGTAGCAAAGACTTTCTAAACGCACCCCAGTAGGGCACAGATCCTGGGGCGGCAGGGAGCTACCCCTCACAGTTTCTCAATAATGGAGAAAAGTCTGAAAGGCGGTGCTTCACTTAATCCTGATTATGTGAATCTTGATCAGGTCTAAGTTTTTTTAAGGTCGGGAATCGCTGAAGAACATCGAACAACATAAAATAAAACTTTGCAGTGGCTTCTGGTACTACCAGAGAAAGGGAAGTCGGTCCTCCTCTTTCATTGCCCTCCCGCCAGGGAAGTCCTGCGTCCTGAAAAGAATCCTTTGAAATTGCTGAAGGAAGTAGTGCACACAGAGATACTGTGAGCGGTGAAACACAGACCATGTAACCACACCCGAGGTAAAGGGGAAAAGGGACACGCGTTCTAGGTAAGAGCCTGAGGGCAAAGCCCTGTGTCCAAAGGGGGTGTGTGCTCCCACGCATTTCAGCTCATTTGGAGGCCGAAGTAAATTCTCCGGCTGTGATGAGAACTGAAATCCACCCCGCACTTTTTCAAGGCCTTTAGCAAGTAGGTTTTTACTGGCCAATCCGAGTTAGCGTCCCCGGGAAGGACAACTCCTCCTTACAGAGAGAATGCTGGCTCTGCAGAATGATTTTCTGCCCAGAAGTCAGCTGCTGAATGCGCACAGGGCGTCCCGGTCAGGCTACCTGCCAGAGCAGGGGCACGGCGCCTGCGGCTCTCTCGGGCAAAGCTTGTCCTCTGAGGAAGGAAGGGGAAAGCAGCAGCCAGCGAATGCCTCTTCCCTCCTTCCCAGATGCTGGGTCCCACACCAGGAGAGGCTGAGCCAAGCACCCAGCCGTGCTACTTCCACGCAGACTTTTTCACGGAGACAAAACCAGCTGCTGCGGGTGGAGACCGCTTCTGCAGCCGCTGCTTCCTGGGGGGGGAACAGTCGCTTGTTCTCCCCCACCTTGCCGAGGGCTCCTAGAAGTGTCTTTAACCTTTAATGAGCTCTCGCCACCCTATTATCCACACCGTGCTCTTGTACACGGGGGCTTGCTCAACCTCTTCTTTTCCACATCTCCCAAAGAGATGAACCTTTCCTTCTACCTCAGCCGACGTGAAGAAGAGGTGCAACATCCGAAGCAGCACTGGTGCTGAGCCTCCAGCCAGGGGCTTGCGCAGGTGGCAGGCTGTTTCAAGGCAACCATCTGCCAGGCAGGTATCTACCACAGCTTTACTGCGTGCAGCTGCCTTCCCCAACGAGTTTAGTTTGCACCCATGAACGCAAAGCCGACACTTCTGCAGGCTCAGCCACCTCTGTGAGCCTGCTAGTGATCAACACGTTACACACTGGCATTGCACGTACTCCCAGGAGGGGCTGTGCCTGCCAGATACCACACGCTGGGTGGTACTCTGCACTTGTTTATGTTCATTAGTATTCATTTTTGCTTGCAAATATACTTGGAATTCTGAAAACGGGATTTTCTCTCGCACGACTTTGAAGACCAGGAGAATATATTAATTTAGGGAGGCAAGAGGTAGCTCCCATCAATAGAACAGCCACTCTGATGGCAATAACTCACAAATCGATAGCTTCAGGTAGGGTCCAGCATGGCACCTGCATGTTGCCTGACTTACGTGAGCTAAGTGAAGAGAAAGAAGCAACAAAGGGTAGGGGTGAATAAATGCAGCCTGCAGCACAGCTGTAGCTCTTCCTCCTTCACTGCATGCAGGACTTCCTCCTCGCCGAGCAAAATAGGAACTGCTCTCAACAGCTGTATCCTGCTGTAAACAGAAGCCTGGACAGCGGAGAAAAGGGAGTGCAAAATGTCATTCCCCTCTGTGCAGACCACGTTTCCTTCTGCGTTATTCTGTCATCCCTCTGTCATCCTTCACTCCTGGTCCAACACCAGGTATTTGTTCCTCACAACCCCGCTCTCCCCAGTGGTACCACGACAGCCCTGTTACAGCGCGAAAGCTGGAAGAACCTGGAGGGCACGGGGAACGTCCATCCCGCGTGTGCTGCTCCTGGCAGCTACCCTGAAGCCTGCAATATCGGTAATAATTTCCTCTACCTCGGCCAAGGCTGCTCTGCTACTGAGCTGGGCTAAGCGGGTGTGCTGAAAAGTGGGTTCGGGTCTATAGAACTTGCGTTTCCAGTCACATCAGCAGGATCACACCTTCCCATGGAGCTGAGTAAGGACAAGGTATCCATACTCGCTGCAGGGAGAACTGGTGGGTAGCTGGGCTATATGCCTACAACCAAGATATTTGATCTACCTCTCACAGCAAAAAGCAGGAATTTAATACATCTTCTGGAGGCCTGAGGCTATTTAATCTGTGGGACCAGGAGAAAGGTGAAGGACAGCAATGTGAGATGGGTCTTAGCAAGATCAAGGACTCTCTTCTCATGAGACTCATATCTCAGCGTAAGCAAATTGGTATTCCATCTGCTAATGGATTTAAGGAGCAGCTGCTGCTTACTTAAAGCAGCAGCACGCGTTCGTGCGCCCAGGAAATCATTAAAGATTTTACACTCGCATCCTTGAGGCGGGAGGACTCTCGGAGGGGAGCTTCTCCAAAGGAATTGCCCAGCTGGAGCGGGTGAACCGCAAAAGCAATGAGGACGGGCTCCAGAAAGGCTAGAAATGGGAGAAGAATTTGCGCATCGACACGGAGTTTTGCACGGTGGAAGCAAGGAGCACGTCCAAGGTGAAGTGGAATTTAACGTCCTCAGCAGGATAGACCACTTGAGCATCAGCTGCTATGGGACAGTCACAGAAAAGCCCAGGCTCCCCAGAGTTTTAATTGCATTATCCCAGTGCCGTCCTAACTGGCACTGGTGCGACGCTCCCGGCTCTACCTCGCCTTCCCCCCTCAGCACACCCCCCCTGCCCGTCCCTCTCCCCCTTCAGACTCCCCCGCCTCCCCTTCCCAAACCCACGCCAGCAGACGCGGCACCGAGATCCCTTTGCCTGCCACAGGCCTACAGCCCGTCCCTCTCCTCGCCTGCCTCCGCCTCTGCCGTCCGCCCCGGGCAGGGGTGGCTCTGCGGGGCGGGGGGGGTGCCCAGGACAGGACACACGTGGGGGGGAATTTCTGGATCCCCCACCTCCAGGGCCGCTGCTTGCACCGCCCAGAAGCATCAGGCACCCGAAGTTTTGGGGTTCTGTGCAAACATGCAGGAAGACGACTTCTTGGCAGGGAAAAACTCAGAGCCTAGGCAAGAACAAGGCGGAACACGCCGGGGACTCGGACGGAACAAAGCGCAGGGCCAGGGTGGAGGCGCACAGTAACAGCCGAACGTTTGCTGGGTGTATTTGACAGGCTTCAAAGCTACGGAAAAAAAACAATCACGTGAAATGAAAATGAAAAGACTTTTAGCAAAACATCCCCGTGAGAATAGATTTTACAGTCAGTGAGTTCAATGTGAAAGGTTTTCCCACTCGTTCAATACGAGATTTCATACACATATGAAGAATAAATATAAATTGCTTAGAATCCAGCGTTTTGTGTGAACCTGAAAATAAATATTCCTCTCTGTGTCCGTGCCTCAGACACCGCAGCTTTGGGCTGGTGCCTGAGAACCTGTAAATGAGGAATTGACCGACCACGAAAACTGGGCTGACGGCACTCACCGGGCCGGCCGGAGGGGAATAAACACGTCAGTTAATACGAGGCGACTCTCTTCACCGCTGAAGACGTTATCGTGAGCCGTGGGATTTGCTGAGTAAGAGAAGCAGCGAGCAGTTCTCCGCGCCTCCACAGCTTGTCGCTCTCGCCCTCGCCGAGGCCAGCTCTCTCCCGGCGAGGGCTGGCGGGGCGGCAGAGCCCCGGCCCGTGCTGGACACCCCAGCAAAGCACCCGGGCACCGAAACGCCAGAAGGGCACGAGCCCCGCCGCTCCGCTCGGCCACGGCCCCCCGGCTCGGTGTCCCCACCGTGCAGTTACGCCGCCTGAGTTTCCCCCCCCACCCTCTGAAGTCACACAAAACACGAGGACAACCTGAGAGCGGGAGGAGCAGAATTTGAAATCAGCATAGGTTTACTGAGTCCAAACTGTTTAAAGTTAAAGTTTATTTGTATTCTTTGTAGGAATATCAATAAAAGACCTCAAATGTATCTATATCTGTACATATTACAAGAACCTTCAAAAATTATTCACAGAACAAAAATAAATCTTCTTTAGAACAAACCCAGGCAATGAAATGCAGAAATGGATCTCAGAGACCAAACAGTCCAGTGCTACTAGCATAAAAATACGGCTTGAAAAACAAGTTTATTACTTTTTAAGGTGTACTTTGTTGAAATAAAAAATAAATTATTTAGAGCTATCATTGTAAAACAGTTCTGTGTAGTAACACTCTTATTAAGGCCCTTGAGACAGAAAATCTATTTTTACAGGTAGGATTCCTGGCAGGCATGATCTGTAATGACATGCTCGCTCTCACGGGAGTTAACTTACTGTGGAGAAAGAAATACCTAAAAGCATCAGCCTAAAATGTAACCCTTTTTGCTCTGTCAGGCTCAGCTGGATACCTGTGGCTGACCATGCTACTCACTGATGGAAATACATTTAATGGTTCAACCCGGACAGGAATTATTCTCCAGGAATGACACAGACATTTTTGCAGAACACAAACAGAATTCATACATACACGGTGACCTTAGCAGAGAAGTATTGCTGACACATTCCACGGGCACTGCTGTAAAACCGATGGGCTTCAATCTGTGAGTTTTCAGATGAAGTTAAAAGCTGGTGGGTTTGAGCAAGCATTAAAACATGAAATCAGTATATCATGTCAAAACCAAAAAGCCTAAGCCAACCCGAAGCAATTACAAGAACATAAAATAAAACCCATTTCTTGGATGACTTATGAGATGCATACGGAATCTATTACTGGATACACCTCTGGATCTTCTCTAACTAGAAAATATACACGTCCCTTTCCACTCTCCTCTGGATCCCCTGCCGAAGTTATGCCACTGGAGAGGAATGTTGCAAAAACGTGTAGCTGTACGAATCTGTGCTTTTATGCATAGCTGCCCATTTCCAATACACCAGGGGAATAAGAGTTGGCAATTCCCGGAGGTGAAATCTGTCTAATTCTCTTAAAAAAAAAAAACAAAAAAACAAAAGGGATCTGAACTCCTAGAGTTGCAAAGAAGGGGCATGTCCGGGATGCCACCCGGAGGCCGTGCTCCCTCTCTCCTCCACGAGCGCCGATCCCGGGTGATCGCGGTCGGCTCCGCTCCCCACACGCCGGGCGGCGAGGGGCCCCCGCTGCCCCCCCTGCCCCGGGAACGGGAACCCCGGGTGGCTTCGTGGTTTGGGAAGAACCATCCCGGGACAGCGCCGAGTAACGTGGCCAGCGAGGGCTGAGAGGCCAGGACGGGGCAGCGCCTCCGTTTCGGTTTTAGGGACAGAGGGGTGTTACTCCTACAGGCTATTAAATTTTTCCTGCACTACTTCGGCTGTTTCCAAATGAGAGCAGCAGTTCCTGGTAACAGCACTAGACACAACCTGACGCAGGTGCTGAAAGTACGAACCAAAGCCTAAAGTCTGCAATGCTCATCGTCAGACTTCGCACTGTTTACTGCTTCTCCCATTGCTGCAGAAACCCACTGGCTGCTTCTCCTAAACCAAACGCGATCAGGCCCGGTTAAAGCTCTTGCTCCCAAACAGACAGACCTTTTGGCTGCCACGTGGTTTAGTGCTACTTGAATTTTATGGGACTGGACAAAATAGAAGCTGGCATTTTCACATAGTGTCAGCTTGAAGCGGCTTAAAATGTCTCTGGAAAGCTTCTTGGTAACAAACCAGGAGAGACAGCTGCCTGCGGAACTCGGGAGCGTAAGGGTTGGTTCTGCAGCTCATCAATTTTAGTCTCGCAGCTCTGTGAGTCTGCAACCTTCACTCCCTTTTGGGTCAACAGGCAGCTTCTCCTCTCTAGCGGGAGTTAGAGAAGTACACTTTGCACTTTAGGGTAGAAAATGAAGCAGAAGAGAAACAACCAGCCTAGCAACAACCTGCGAGGACGCTACTGATGGGTCAAGACTCTTTTAGAACAGCAACTTTTTCTTACAAGCATTCTACAAGGTTAAGAAATACACAGGAGAAGGTACATTATTCGAATGATACATCACTGAAGACCACATCGAAATCCATCAATCTTGGGGCAGGTCTTATTTCCCCTCCGAAAACCAGGGCTGGAATGCTGCCTCTGTTGCATTTCTCTGCAGAAACCACAGTGGACGCCCCGGAGCCTTCAGCAGCGAACCAGAGAGAGCGGCCGGAGATCCGCGCTGAGCGCTGGCTGGGCAGAAACCTGGGGAGCTCCGGCGAAATGCGTTTCCCAAACGCATGCCAGACCAACGCTACCAGAACGACGTATCTGCTTCTGCCTTGCCCTAGTCCATGCATTCATTCCTACGACCACTTGCTCGCACACCTCAGTCACAGAACACCCACACCATTTGCGCTGCGTCGTGAGCGAACAATGCACGTTTCCCGTCCGAAAAGGCTACTTTGGGGGAACAAATTTCCCACGATGCGGCTGTGTAATTACAGTACGTAGCAAAGGGGAGCTGCAGATCACACAAAATACTCAACGAGAAGGGGGTTGCAAAGGTTTCTTGTAAAAGAGAGCTACTCACAAGACAGATGGGTACAAACTCGATAGACTGCCTACGGCTGTGGTGCACGAAGGAAGTAGGAAAGAAGAAGGAACTTAAAGGCACAGTTTGAGGAAGAAAATATCAGAGGTCAGCGATGACCCAGAGCTGGAAGACGGTTTGGAAAGTATTGAAAAGAAACCGCTACTGAGCAAACGCAGAGCACGACCCCAGGTGTGTCAGACAGTGCTGACTTCGCTACGGACGCTCCAAGGAGAGGGCAGGGACGCTCCTCGGCCCGGAGTACCAGGTCACATCCGAGCAGCCAGAGCAGCTTTGACCCGAAAGATCTAAGCATTAAATATAAATCCCAACTCGCTGCAGACGAGTCTTCTGTAGGTGTAAATGAATGGCCGAGGCCCCGCTGAAAGACAGACGCGTACACATTTGTCTTGTACAGCTTACAACGCAGGAGACGTGGTCCCTGTGTTTAGGCGTAGCTCGGAACGTCACACGCGTGTGTGATGACGTTTAACTGCAGTATCGGAGCACAGTACCCAGGCCGAGCCGTTGACGTGCAGCGCTCTGTCACAACCTGCCTTTGCCCGCAGAGCTGAGGTCAACTCGCTTCCCCAAGAACAAACCAACCTGACAACAGACACCGAATTCGGGTCCTCGGCGCTGGCGACCCTTCGCGTCGAAGGCAACGTGGGTCGCTTTCGGGAGGTGAAGGGACTGGCTTAGAAACTCCTACATTCTTAGCGTAGCACAGTTTTAGAGACTGAGAAAGGAAGGCCAGAAAGGATCATCAGCTCATCGGCTCCGACCTTCTCCATATCACAGGCTGCACGATTTCAGCCAGGTACCCCCAGAGCCACCTCATTCATTTCTTGGTTGCGGCCTGAATTGCTTGTTAAACACGCCCCACACCGAGGCACCCTCTCCAGGTTTTGGCTCATTCTGAAGTCAGCTTTTCCAATTTCCAATTTCCAGAACATGTTTGAATGGTTAATCGCGCTCACCGGTACCGGAATATTTCTGTAATTCAAAATTTGAATTGCTGTTGCGATAATTTTATTCAACATTGAGAGTCTGGGGGCTAGAAACGTACACCAAAAAGTGAAAGTGAAGATTCACACACTTATCGCTTGGCTCTAGAATCTGGGGCTTTAAAAAAAAAACCCCTCCTCAGACTCAATATTGTGGCATTTGATGAAATCATGAGAACTGCCAATCCTGTGTCATTTATTGTTAATCTTTTACAGTTTGTGAGTGTCACGATCTTCCACGAGAAGGTCACTTTGTAATTATATACACATTCACCTACAGCCTGGAATCGCGCTTCTATGAAATGCAACTGAAAGTAATTGGAGAAGAAGGCTTAGTCAAAACTCCTTAAGAAAAAAATAGAGTGTACAGAACTTCATAAAAACCCGTTGAAGTATCCAGAGAAAGAAAAATTTCAGTGGAAATGGAAGATCTTTTAAAGACAAACGTGCGGAAAGCATCTTTCATTGGAACTGGACTGGCTAAGCTAGTGGCTGAAACAGTGAAACGGAACGAGAGTTAAAATATAGAAAACCTGGAGGGAAAAGGAAAATTTTGCATACGGACGCCGCCTTTGCTGGGCACGGCGCCCTCCGGCTCGCCCCCTCCCCAGAGCATCAGCCCGCCTGCGCCCGGGGGAGCGCGAGCTCAGGGCGCCGCCGCGTGCTGCGTCAAGCGGGGACTGGATCCCACGTCAAACAACAAAAAAAAGTATTTACAGGTCTGTAAATTCTCACAAACGGAAAAATATAAAACTGCATTAGAACCGGGGTAAAAAAGAAAGAATCCTACCGTGAAAAACTGCAGATTCCCTCTGTCTGTCTGATGGGAAGCCTGACTGTGTGCAAATGCAAGGAAACGAGCTTGCGGCTCCGAGCTTTCACCTTGGCCAAAAAGACCGACAGTTTTTTTGCCGGAGTCCTACCACAAGTAGGTACGGGCCCCAGCAAGAGCCAATTTTCTTGCTAAAGCGTTTGCTATCGAGTTTGGATTCAGTTCAAGAATAGCTAGAGAAGAGGGGAATAAAACCAGCAGATGAGTTTTCTTACAGAATTCATTTCACTGCGATTTCACTCCACGCATGTCTCAGTCAGCCTGACACATACAGCTGCTGTCTGGTGTAACCCCCTGCTCATCTCTCTCTCTCTCACCCACAACACACGTGCACTCACACTCCCCTCTTCCTCCTCCAAGGGCTGCAGTGCTTTCAACAAGAGAAAAAAATAATAATAATAAAAATAGCAATAATTAAAAAAATCTACAGTATTCACTTCCTTTTGGTATATTACATCGGCGTTTTCTGTACATGACCCAAGGGCTCCCTCTATTTACACAGTGATACGGAAGGACTTGTTCTCGGGAGCCCGGTTCTCCTGGCCTTGAGTGGGGAATTAAAGCCCACCCTTCAGAGTTCTTCTTTCTCTTTTCCATTTTATTAGCAGCATTATGTAAACCTGTAAGGGAAAGGGGGGGGCTATTTTGCAGGTGTCTCGAGTCTGCCCCCTCTTGCCCTTCTCCTGGGGAGACGGCCGGCAGCATCTGCCCAGTTAGCAGCTGCTGTTTTTGAATTCACCATTCTCCGTGATGGAAAGCTTGGTGGGGTTGGTGGGGGAGATGCCATTGCGGACTTGCATGCTGTAGCGCTCCTTCACCTGCGTCAGGGCACTCATCAGCCGCGTGTTGGCCGAGTCCAGCGACACGATCCGCTTCTCCTGCAACAAACACCCCGCACAGTCAGAGCTCCTTCACAAAGGAAACGCCTCGGCCCCCCGAGCCCTGCTCTGCGGGGAACTTCCAGGCCGCGGGGCTGCAACAGTGTCTCCGGGTGATTTCTAGGCAGAGGCAGCGTGGCTAACATTCTCCGGTAAGATGGGACGTCTGCCTCTTTCTGTTTTCTTGGGGTGACGTGGCCCCCGCGTGCCAGGGGCTTTGCCCAGGCTGGCCTGGCCCTCCCGGCCTTTCCGCGGGATGGAAGGTGAGTTCAAGTTACGTGGGTGAACTCACCCAGCCCCGGTGGCTTCATCCCGACAGCCGCCAACCGAGGCAGATGGAAACGCAGGATTTTGTCATGGGGCGGGGCGAGGGGGAAGGGGTGTTGGTGTTAATAACAACAACAGCCAATTTTAATTCTGGTTTGTTTTTTTGTTTTTTGTTTTTTTTTGTTTTTTTTTTTTTTGTTTTTGTTTTTTGTTTTTTTTTTTAAGTATGTTAGAAAAACAGAAACAGGCAGCAGAAAATAAAAGTGGTGGAGGTTTCATCTGGCAGAGAAAAGTGCAAGTGATATCTAACGGCCATTGTCTCTGTATTTTCGATGGAGTGTGCTCAGAATAAACTCATGGTACGCTTCAAATAAATAAATAAATGAATTAAAAAAAAAAGCAGATAATGGCAGCCTGCAGTCACCAGCAGGAGTGAGGGTGCAACAGCAACATAGAGAAGAAGCAGCCAAAAGCTAACACTAAGGGGTTATTTGAGGGGAAGGGGAAGAGGGCAGTGTGGGTGGAGGGGGAGATGCCATCGACAGAACACAAAGAACAAACACTGAACACACTGCTCCTAGGCCCATTCCAGCTCAGAGGGGCTCCCGGGCCCCGCCGAATCCAGGGTTCCCACATCCCAGTTTTGATTCTTCTCGCACAGAAAGTGCCAGCCTCCACTTTGAGCAGAAAGCTAAAGGATGTGTGTACTAAATTTATATATATATATATATTAAAAAAAATAATAATAATAAAAAAACCCATCAACAAAACCCAGCCTACTAACAGCTCGGTTATCTGCAGTGGGATAAAGCACTGGAGGGTCAAGCCAAAGAGTTGGTGGCGCTATTAGAAATGACAATTTTCATCTTCCCTCAAAAAATAATAAAAAAAAATATAAAAAAAAAAAAATGCAGCCACACAAAGCAGCAACAGAGATGGCAAAAGGTAAATATGCTCTCGATGCTACCAGCCAATTGGCTTTTTTTCTTTGAGAAGGAAAAATGTCTAATTGACTTGAATGAAAAAAGCTGCATGCAGGAACTCTTCCCAGTCCAGCCCACTGAGAAACGAAATGGAAGGAAAAACGCTGCACAGAAGGCACAAACATTAAGGGATAGTTCAGACGTATCGCTCAGGAGACCTATGTTCTGCAACAGCCCCTTGAGATTTAGATCCCAGCTCATCAGCTGTGTGGCACATCGGCAATCAAGTAATGCTTGCTTTTCTCAGCGGGTTTCCCCGCAGGGGTAAGTGGTAGGGTGCAAAAACAAAGCAGAATTTAAGTCCTGCTTCTACCCCAGCCCTGAAGAGACCAAGCTCCGTGTAGCAGAGCAAGTGGAGGAGGAATCAACAAAGAGCCTGCCCCGGCACTTGCCCTGATCCAGTCAACGTGAGTAAGGAGAACGGACAACGGAGGAGTTAAAGGCCTTAGCCTTTCCTCCCATACTGAAAGGAATCCTGCAAAACACAACTGCCTGAGCAGAAATGTGTTCTTCAGCAAGTTAAAGCTCCTCCTCCTCAGATGAACTGTCACCTGGAATATACAATTTAAAATTAAAATTTCTTTCTGAAGAATGTAGCTTTCCAAAGGGTTAAAAATGAAAGGCTGGTTATTTCCTGGCACTGAGGGGCGCTCGCCGTGCCAGTTTGCAAAACAGCTGGAAGTCTACACTGGGAAAAAATCAATCTTAAAAGCATGAGCTCGGTGAGCAGAGGCATCTTCTCACTCAGAGGAAAATACGATCTAACAGACATGTCTCTAACCCAGGTGAATTGGGCGCGGGGAGCGGGAGGAGCTGGAATGGGTAGGAGGTCAGTGCACCGGGCCAGGACTGGGAACTGCTCAGCTAGAGAACTGATTGGGTTTACTTGCCTGTTGGAATTATCTCATCCCCATTTATGACCTGTAATTTAACACAGCGGAGATGTCACTTGCAATAGCAACTGGGCTAGCGCTCTTTGCAGCTCCGCCGCTCCGAGGAGCGAGCTCAGGCAGACGTGGCCCCTGCTCGGCCGGGGGGCCCGGAGCCGGCGGCGCTGCCCGGGGCTGGCCCAAGGCTGCCCCGACCACGACAGCAAAGGGCAAAACCTTGAAAAGCGTGGTGTGATAAGCCAGGTTCCACCTCCACTCCATAAACCTCACAGACAAAAAGGCCTTCTCGCTTCCAGCCACCGCTATATCCCTTTGCCAAACCAATCACGGGCTAAGAAAAATCTTCCCAGCGCAACTTAAGAGGGTTTGCTACAGAACCCAGCGAACGCTCGGGCTCCTCTGGTGTGCCTCTCCTCAATCTTTCACCAGCTTCCTCTTCTGCTCAGGTACCCACGAAAGGGCAGTGACATCTAAGCCTCCCCCACGAGCCGGCTGACCCCGAAGCAGCTCAGGTCTGCCGATGCCCAAGCAGATGATGCCTCGTCTGATCAAGTGGGATCAAGGACCGCACCGTCCCAGCCCCGAGGGATCAGGCTGGGCCACTCCTGGCCCTGCTAGCCCACAGCCTCACACCGCGGCCGAGAGCCTCGTGGCAAGAGGCAGGCAGCAAAGGGAAGGGCAAGTTTCTTATTCAGTCAGGATCTCTCAAATCCTCCCCTCCAAAAATCACCCTCCGCGAGTTTGCTCGGTGCCCCCCTCCGCTTTCTCGAGGCAGATGAGAAAGGCATCACCTCCTTCAGAAACCAGGCTGCTGTTCGGATGAGCTGCCATCCCATCAGTGGGGAACAGCAAGGTGCCCTGCCTCTGCCTATCTCCAAAAAATGGCCCAGCTCGTTCAAATTCTGCCCTGGCCCCCCACCTGCCATAATCCTTGATCGGGCTGGAGGCTGCTGCACTGCTCCTCCACCACCAAGAAAATAAAAAAATTCAGCGACTGACTACCTCCCTGTTCATTCTCCAGCCCCGCCCTCTCCCACTTTGCATTTTGAGTGCAAGTCCTCACAGAAAGGATTTAATCTTCAGCTGCGTCTAGAAAGGGTGACTACACTGGGGTCTCCATGTAGAGCATCTTGCCCAATAACTAGGAACTATAATATGGTGTCATTCCAGAAGGATTTTATTTTCATTCTGCAAGGCTAGGTAACAGAAGTGCCACGCTATTGTACGCGAGTGATTTATTTAGATTAGAGGGCACGGATCCAAAAATCCGTGAGCTTTCATGAACAGTCTTTCCGAAGAACTGCGGGAAAACGGGCAGAGGCAGCAGGAAAACCAGAACTTTTCCAAACATCACAAAGAAATCCGCTACAAATATACTCCCAGGGTTACCAGGCTTTAAAAAAACACAACTTTTTTCTACTTTGTGTTTGCCCTACAGTCCCACGTGAGCTCAAACATTTCTGTTAGTGATGGCCATTCAACAGGAAAAAAACGGGCAGGGCATGCTCTTTTGCACTCACTTTTGCCTATATTCTAATACACCGGTACCATCTTCAACAATGTTCAACTGAGCCTCCCCCTCCCTCCCCCCCGCCACTCTTTGTGCAGGGAAACAACTTTCTGAAGCAACTTGGGCTATTCCTGAAAGAGGTCATCACCTTAAGATTATCTATCAAGGCAAGTTTACAGCTGGAACGACTGCAAAGCCCCAGAAGCAGGAAGGATACCTTCCAAACGCCAATACCACAAACGTAACACGGCGGGCAGGTATCAAACCAGGCTCGGGTTCTGCCGTACAAGCTTTGCTCTCTGGGATCAGCACAGACACCGAAGAAAAGCTGAGCCGATCCCAACGCAACACACCCACGTGCACTGCCCACGGGGTCCCGCTTCCCGCAGCTACCTCGGGTTGCACTTCGTGGCAAAGGGGGGGGGCGTTTCTCCGGGGCTGGCGTGGGCACTCGGATGGGGTGAAATGCCACGTTACGCAGGGCGATGCTCCATTGCAAAGCAGACTCTTTTCTGGACTCCAACGTTCCAAGCCATGCTCTTAGCTCGCACAGCTGAGATGCATGCACATGGCAATTACGCTATGCTGGGATGAGGCACAGTTCTTCCAGACTTCCCCGGCCCACACTCGGACCAGCGCACCGCCCCGCTACCCCTTCACCCCTCCCGGGACCTCACAGAGTAGAAAAGCTTTGGGAGAAGTGACCACTCCTGGGATTTGCTGTCAGGCTGTCTCAAGGCCTCGTGTCAGACAGCACAGTCTTTATTAATTGAAAAACCCCAATTCTCTCCTAGAAAGCAGTAAGTCACACGTGCAGCACCGTGGGCTAGTGCTGGCTTGGGAGCTAGGTAACGATGCTGGGGCGGGAGGATAGGGGAGAGTAACGGGTTCTACACACAGAACACTTGGTTCTGGGAGATCCTGAGCTCCTTACCTGTGCATCAATAATCTTCTGCTTTGCGTCGATGACAGCTTGCATCTCTGCATGATCCTTCTTCAGCTCCTCTTCCACTGCCATGAGTCTGATGAGCAAAAAGACATACAAAATCAGGACAGTTTAATACTATTCCAGAGTGTTTCAGGCACGCCAGCCTGTTGGTTTGACTCCTCTGATCGGTCCTGGCTCTGCAAGAGAAGAATTCTGCTGCCCGCGGAAAAGCTGATCGATCCATCTGACACTCCCAATTGCCTAAACCTTGTTATTCTCAAAACGGACATCGCCAAAAACGCAACTGCTCTGAAAAACTACTGCCTTGAGTACAGATCCCAAACGAAGCGGGACGGTACCAGCCCAGAGAAGTCAAGAAGCCCGCGCAGCCACCTCCTGTAGCGTCGAAGGGAACACACGACACAGGGAGGCCGCTTGTCCCGCGCAGCCCCAACCTTTCCCGAGCCTCACCTGCTGATGATACTTTTCATCTGGCTGTCCTTCTCCTCCTGTTGCCTGCGCAGTCTCTCCTCGCTGTCTTCCAGCCTAGACTTGTACTCCATCAGCAGCTTCTGCATTTGCTGCTCTTGCACCAGGAGCCGCCGCTCATATTCCTCCAGCCGGCGACTTGACACCTTCAGGCGCTCCTTCAGCTTCGCTATCTCTTGTTCGTACTGCAGGTTCAAGGAAAGAAGGAAAGAATCAGACGTGGAGGAAGGAGGAAGAGATCAGATCGCTATGATCTTCTGCTCCCACTCAGAGGAGGACATTGGTTTGGGTTTTTTTGTTTTTTTTTTTTTTTTTTTTTTTATCATCGTGAAAAAATAAACTGAGAGAAGTAAAGGAAATGACAAGCAAACAACTGTGGGCAACCAGAGCCAAGGGGCATAGAGGATCCCACTGGGCACCGAGCAGTTCCCACACTGCAGGATTTCTTTCTGTAGCACAACTTAAGCAGTCAGAGGGCTGTGACACGGCTCCTCAGCCCTGACCGGTCACGTCCCCAGTTACCAGTACCCAGTTACTCAAACAGTTCCCAGACAGAAGCTGCTAATAGCGCTGAACTGTAAAAATGTCCTGATGTCCTGGGGTGGCCAAACTTACAGAACGGACCGGTGTGAGACCCAGCTAACTCATTCTTCAGGACCTAATCAAGGCACGAAACCACGTACCAAGACAGAGCAAATAATTCACTACAGAACAGAGCCTGTAAAGTTTACTTGGCCAAGGTTTTGTTCTACTTACTATCTCTGTGGACAATCACTTCTGACATAGTGCAGTGAATCTCAACGTATTCCACTTTGCTTTGGCTTCATTCAGCTTTCCTAATAATCCCACTTTCCTGCTTCTTGTCCACCACATGTACTCCTCCTCGCTCCCTGCCTTCTCAAAATACCAAACCTCTTACTAAACTTCACCACCGTAGCAGCATACAGATCTAACTGTTTGGAAAAACGGTATCTACTCCTGAAAATAAATATGCTTTAAAAAAAATGATCACGGATGTTTCTGTGGAGCCTAGAAATACTGTACTACCCAGCTGACAGGCATTTGTCTCAGGTGAAGCCCAAGACAAAATCTGAATGCAATTACTGATGAAGATTGAATTGCATTTACAGAGCCTTGGACAATCACTTAGCCTATCCTAAGCTATACCCAGTCAGGTTAACAATCGCGATTTTATTTTTTTTTTTTTTTAAGGGAGTTTAACGATCACTAAAATGTTTTGCAGGCAGACAAAAATGGCAGCATGCTGTAGCTATAGTGTTTCCGTAAAAAATAACGACTCGAGCAGGATCGAATGCACTTGGGCAGCGTGACTCACGATGCACCCAAGTGCCAAACACCAGCCTGCGACGTACAACCCCTCAGCTACGTCAGCCTGCAGCCCCTTTGACGTGCTGCAGCCTGCCTGTGGCTGAACCCCTAGTGCGGGATGCCGTACCGCAGGGGTGCGCCCGCACGCACAGCAGGGAGCTGTGCCGACACAACCTGGGGCGGGACGCGCGGCTCCGCCGCGGCAGGGCCCGAGCGCGGCTCTGCACGGGGCCGCGGGGTGGGCAGGGCTCGCTGGCAGCCCTCGAGGCGGCTGCACGCCCCGCAAAGCCTACCTTCTCGGCGTGCTTGCCTTCATCTGCATTCTGCTCCGCGTCCTCCTCTACTTCTTCGTACTGGCCATTATTGAGAACCCACGCAGCCGTCCTTTCCACCGGGGACATCGTGGCAGAGTCCACGGGGGACTGAACCTGGAGCAGAGATACCTGTAAGCATTCTTCAGAGAGGTTACATACAAATCAGCTCTAAAATCCAGTTTATTTGGAGGAGAAAAACGACCGTAAATCTGTCGGTCCCAAAGGATCACCGAAACCTCCTGCGGAGATACTTCATCCTCTGGTGCCTTTGGACCACAGCACGCACTTGAGTCCCTCTAAACCAGATATTTTTCTTCCTCTCTAAGTGAGCTTCTCCCTGAAAAAAGTTCTTGTTTCCAAATCCTGCTCACATCCACCTCTCCCCTCTGCCAGACCCTCAGTAAGGCTTTCTCGACCGGCCATTTCTCTCACAAAGAAAACGACAACGCTTGGCTTGCAGGTAGGACAGAGGGGCTTCTTCGGAGCACCGAGGAGCGTCACTCGGGAGCAGCCCTCCCAGCCAGGCTGCAGACAGACTTTGCAGCAGGGGACTGGGCTGAAACAGCACAGCAGTACTTAAGAAGTGCCAAGGAGGTGTAACATTATCGGTGTAGTGCCTGGCAGGTTTAGGTGGTCTACTGCGGCGTGCACACCCGGGCAGGGCTGTGAAAGGAAGCCAGGGCCAGCAGCGCTTACGGGGAGAACCGTAAAACACCAGCAGAGGCTACCCTCTTTAAGGGAATCTGAAAAGGAAGCCAAGAAAAGAAACAAGAAACTCTCTGCCCGGCTGGGGAAAATATGGCTGGCTACAGATTCCAAGCAATTTTCGTGGACAAAGGCAAGTTTATAACCACAGGAATTAGCATCATTATCCCTGAAAGAGCAACGCTGTCTTAACTTTTTGAGAAATGCGAAAGATCAACCTCCCCACCCCCCTCAACTGTAGCTTCTTTTTGGGCTCAAGCTGCTCTTCAGCTCAGTGCCTCGCTTCAGTGTCGTACCAAAAGTGAAATGTGCTCCCTGGCAGGGGGGTTTTGGTCTCGATTTCGGTGGGGAGCTCGTTATGGGGGAGTAACAGCTTCTTTACACGGGTCAGGCGAGGGATCGCGCCAACCTCCGTTTCTGCTTCTCTTGTTGACGAGGTCAGGGCCGGCGAGTGCTGCGCTCATCCTACGCCAGCTCCGGCCAGAGGATTTGCTGCCCTGAAGACTCCAGCACGGGAAGAAGCCCCAGCAAGGATGGGTATAAAGGGAAAGGAAAGGAGTAGGAAAAAAAGGCAAAAATCCCCAGGTTTAGGCGGAGGCCCTTTCGCGAAAAGGACATCTTCACAGCAGAAAGGCTAGTTGCCTTTTTTGAGTGCAGCGAGACAACCTGGCAAGGCTCCTTAGTTGCACTTTTGGGATGGAATCTGCTGTCAGGCAGCCGTAGCAAGGGAGACTATGAACTGTGTGTGGCTCTACCACCGACGGGCTCTTCTCGGAGGTAAATCCTTCGCCTCTAGGAACTGCTGGAGGAATCAGGAACAGCTATGGATGAACAGTGTCACCGGTCCACTGGAGGTATGGAGGACCAAGATAGCTGAAGGCTGACTAAACTGCATCACCAGCCTTGTAACAGACTGCTGATCAGCAGCACACCGTGCCAAACAACCTTGCAAGCTGTAGGACAGAATATTTTCAGCCAAACTCAGAAAGCCTACAAAGGCCAAGCGGATGGCAAGTACTTCACATGCTAATGGGTTATGAGTTATACTCTAATAAAGGGGGAAAAAGAAAAAGCCTGCTAGGAACACGTATTTATTCCCCTCTTTGCCTCTCTTCCAGAGGAACACACTGACATTTCTGTTCCCACCTACTTACTAAGTGGAAATGGAAGGCAAAAAGTGACCTCTCCCAGCAAACAAAGGGCCTAACTCTATATTCAGAAACAAACGGGGCTTGTAGAGAACAGAGTCTAATAATTATAACGCCCACAAAGCATGCCTAGAAAGAACATGCCCAGAAAGAACATGCCCAACTTCTCTTTTCTCTTTTTCTTTTAAAAAATAAGAACAGAATTCCACAACACGATTTGCAATTAAAAGGATGCAATGGAATTTGCCTCAAAAAAAATTCTGGCCGCTCGATTTGGCACACTTCAAGACATTTCTCAAGGGTGAGGGGAAGGAAAGAACAAATTGATTTCTCCGCATAAAGTAGGAGCAAGTACTCTAATGAAGCCAGTGGAAACAATTAGTGCGGAAAGTAGAATGGAAAAATAAGTAGATGCACATCACCTGCAAGAGGTGGGAAGGAGACTGCCCTGAAGGCAGTCACAGTCGCGGGCCTCCGTGAAGCTGAACGTAAAAGGAACTGGAGAAGAGGGAAGCCTGAGCCAGTCCCTTTGATGCTAAACAAGCAAAGGTAACTTGGGGGCAGTCGGGTAATGAGCGATTTAAGATGAGAAGAGCCAGGGGGTTTGCAAACAGCTAACTGAATGTTTCTTGTAAATGAAGCCACCCGTGTGAGGTGTACGCGCGAAGGCTGGAGATGCACCACCTGTGCTTTCCCCTCCTTACCCCAGCTCCTTCAAAGTAAAACCTCCTTTGCGTATTTGTGTGGGCACTTCCCGTAACAAGCCCCGAGGAACGGCACAGGCTCCCCGGGGATTCTGGCTAGGACACTGCACAGAACCACACAATAAAACTCAGCAAATCGTACAATACCGGTTCACACTGGATGCCCGAGAACTGCAAAGGGAGTTTATCCTTCAAATTTATCCTTGTTACTGGCCTAAAGATCTGCTACACCTCCACACTAGGCCTAGTTGTAGTCAGTGCGCTTCACCTCTCGGCGCCTCTAGGCCCAGACGTAGGACACCCGCTCCAGAGGAGGACACAAACGCACGCACTTCAAACAGTATGCAATTGCTTTTTTTTTTTTTTTTTTTGGCGTTACTAACTTGGCATATTAAGCTTTGCTTTGTGCTTCAGTGTTTCTGATCTCCTCGCACTTTAATAAACCCGAGGTATCAAAGCAGTTTTGAAGCCGACCGCTCCTGGGTTCCCAGGTATCACCCAGATCTTCCTCCTGCCGACTGTAACGCTCAGGAGCTTGCCAAGGAAGCTACACCAACAGGGGCACCAGTAAAACCCTGGGCAGAGCAGGGGCTCACGCCGGCAGCTAAGCTCTTCTGTCGGCTTTACCTTACGAGCCAAAAAGCCTTCCTCCCCCCCCCGCCCCCCCCGCCCCCCCCGGCCTCTCCAGCGGTTTTGCCGGCGGGGCAGGGAGGTTCCTTGCGGAGGTGGCCTCGCCGGCAGCACGGCGCAGCCTCAGCCCCACGGGCCGCGACTTTCCGGACTGAAAGTCCTGGCTCGTGCCTGCGTGCGGGTCTAGAAGGTCTTGCGGAAAGCAGCAGCTCAAAAAAAAAAAAAAAACCCAAAACTTCCTTCTGCGCTAGGTAAGGTAAATCAAACGTGACGGTGTTTACCTTGACGGTGACCACGGAAGAAAAGAACCCCGAGGGATAGCGCAGGTGTTGCCTCCCAAAGCCTCATCCCGCCCTGCTGCCAAGTCCGTATGCACTAAAGCGACACTTCTCAAAACAACCACCCTCCCTCCGACCTCCAGATCGTGACATTTTCTACCTCCGCTGTAGTGGCAAGCATTTAAATGCTCATTTTCTCTTTAGCATTAATTAGGAAAAGATTTTCATACACAGCAAATCACAACAGGATTTCCCCACACCCCTCCTTTTTTTTTTTCTCTGAGGTAAAGGAATGTTGGCTTTTTGACAGGAAAGTCCTGATTTACAGTCGCCTATGAACAACTGATAACGTGCATTAAAACTGGGTACATAGAAACAGTCCCTTCCAGAAAGCGTTTGCGTCATTCATAGTTGAGGATGGTTAATGAAAAAGCAGCATTTATTTGGGAACCAGCAACAGATTGTCGCATCATGGTGAAATATAGATTTCCCCACGCTTAAAGACAACTGCGCTTATTTATTCTTTTGGCAGCAGTTTATTGTATGATGTTTTACCTTTGTTTACTTCTCTGGTCTTAGGTAGCTATGCTTCTAAATTAGCACCACAGGGCAAATGCAGTCTCGCGTGGCAATCTTAACTACAATTTGGAACCAAGCTGCCTCTATTTTTTTTTTTTTTTTTTTTAATCGGGGGAAATTTTCAAGTTTTGTTTCTGTCGGCAGGCTTGCTGCTACTTTTGTAAATGGAAAAGATTTTTTTAATTTTATTTTATTTTTTTTTTTTTTTTAAATCTAGTCCAAACCCATCCCAAAATAATAGGCAAGCTAGGCTTGCCAAGCTCGTCCGGGTAACAAGCACGGCTGCTCCTTACAGTGGCTACGGGTCGCCTGCTTAAGTGCCGGTGCTCTCGATTCTCCTCAACGGTCAAAAAGCTTCGGAGGCCACCGCAGCGCGGTCAGCCAAACGTGGAAAAAAGCCTCCCTCTCCTTACCTGCTGCGTCTGCTGCCTCTGAATTGCCCGCACCTTCGGGACAGGGCTCTCTCTGGAGGAGGAGGACTGCTGCCGGGAGCGGCTCCCGTTCTGCAGGGCTTCGGTCGCCACGGCCCCCGACACCCCCGAGACGCTGCCGGTGCTCCTCAGGGAAGCGCTGTGCGGCAGGGACTGCGGCGCCTTGGCCCGGGCGCCCAGCCCGCCTTGGTCCACTTTGCGGATCTGCGCTTGGCTGCTGCTGTTTTGGCGGGGCAGCGCGATGGGGACCGGTTTATCCGGGCCCGGGTGGCGCCGGGAGAAGTCCTCGCTCTGCGTGCTGCGTTTGGTGAAGTCCTCCATGCTGCTGTTGCTGGGGCCGCTGAGTTTGAAGTCTTCGCTGTTGCTTCGGCTCCGGGAGCTGGCGGTGCTCAGGTTCTCCAGGCTGGAGTCCACGGAGGCCTTCGGCATCGGCGGGGTCGGGTTGTTGAGGTGGTAAACGGGGTTCTGGAAGGACAGGGGCTGGAGGCTGCCCTGTTGGTTCAAAGCCGGGTGCAGAGGCCTTCTCACCTGGGGAGCGCTCTGGGGCGTGCTCTGAGTTTCCCACAGCTGTTTGATGTTGGCCACCTGCGTGACGGAGAGCTGGCTGCCGGCCAGGCGCAAAGGCACGTCGTGCATCATCGAAGCGTGGTCGCTGTGAGCCGTGTGGGGGTCCTGGAGGTCCATGAGGGAGATGCTACGTCCGTTGGGCAGGAGGCTTTCCCTTTCGTCCTTATCCGAGTAGGTCATGCTCTGGGTGGATGCCTGCTGAACCAACAGTAAGGTCTTGCCCCTAAAATATCCATCTACATTTTCCTGGGTTGGAGACTTCAGCTTATGCAAGTCACTGTGGAGCAGAAAGGAATTTGGTTAAATTTTAAGTAGCCGTGACCCTGAGAGATCAGTCCCAGAGAGAAGCCCTTCTACCTCATTTAACCCCCCCACCCGCAACCGAAAGCTTCAAGGAACCAGATTTCCTTTTATGAGCTCTTTGTGTTCAAGTCAGAACACACTCTTCCTTAATTACCACTTATCTTTGAGAATTGCGTTTGATTCGAGAAGTGCTTCATCTTTATTTTTTTCACAGGTGAAGTGCAAACTGTTCCCACCGAATCCCGCTTAGACCCTCCTGTCTCCAGCAAGATTTCGGAGCAGTTCAGATCCCGTTTAACCCTTCGCCTCGTTATGTACTGTGGGGGCCTGAACGTTCAGCAGGAGTCGTGTGAAGGCTCCTGTCCCTCTCGGCGTAAGCCCCGAGGGCCGACACTTCCACCTGACAAAACCGGCCCTCGGACCCCCAAAACTACTACACGGCATCCAAAGCTCTCTGGCAGCTGTGTCACAGCTTTTCCCTCCAGATTAACACCTATTAGAGGGTGAGAAACGCTTCGCCCCCGAACAGAGGAGGGGCTATTTTTGCCATTCCATCGGTAACAAGTCCCACCTACAGCCCAGCTTTCTCATTAGCAGTAAATAAGCGGCCTGATTGCCAGAAGGAAGCGTTACGGCTGACTCTGCATCCGGACCGGCGGTGAATTGCAAAACTGGTTTTTAGCAGCTGAAGTCACTGACTGCCAGAGATGTCTTTGAGTCCCGGCTAAGTCAAAAAGCTTCGGGTCCCCAGTGCCACCCTGTGCACCTCTTCACCGGGGCCGTGTATTCCCCGTGGCAGAGGCCCAAGCCTCCCCGCTCCGGCAGCCGCTCGGGGCTTGGGAGCACTCGGCTCTTACCAGGCTTAACAACCCCCTTATCCCACGTCTTCCCTCGAGCTCTGGCTGTTACATACCCATCAGTGGGGTCCTCAAATATCTTCTGAAGCCCTGAGGAGAGACTGCCACTGACGTTGGGACTAGAGCTGTGCTCAGTGAAACGCCTCAGCTGCTGCTGTATCGGCGTAGGGTTGGTCATTGATTTGGTGATATCGGCAAGAATACGAGGAAGAGGTCCCAGTTTTGCCACGGTCGCCTGTAGGAAGGAATTTTCACCCTAATTGGACAACAAGCACCGCGACATCCGCCAGTTTTTTTTTGATAACGATGCACAGAGGCGGAGGGGTGGAGGTGGAAGGAAGGAGGGTGGGTGGTTGTGTGCGGGTGTGCCAGGACCGTAATGCAGTGTTACGGAGCAGCGTAACCACGGCGACGAGATGGATGGAGGAGACGAAACGGGGTGCAGCAGACATTGAGGAAAGAAAAGGAAATAGAAAAGAAATTAGGATTGACCCCCAAAAATAAAAATCATGCTCAATAAAACAAAACTATTGCCATTCCAATGCAAAACTATCATGCAAAGCAAACTAAGGCCAGGGTGGGTGAGGTCAAAGTGAAAACTACAGTATCTACTCATTAAAGGGCATTCGAAGACTACAGGTTCAGCTGGTGGGGGGAACTTTCCAGGCAAAGGGTGGCACGTGGTAAAGGAAACGCATGCCAACAGACAAGGGGATGCGGCATTCAGGGGGATCATGAGAGAATCGCAAGGGTTGAGGGAGATGGGGAAAGGGAAGGTTTTCATTTCATAAGCCTTTCGCTTTCGGCATCCTACACCGATGCCACCTTCTGTAGCACCCTGTTATCAAAAATTAAGGCATTCTTCCCTACCTAAAAGTGAAAAATAACTACACGAAAACATCGATGATCCTCAACAGTATCGCATCAGCCTGGGATTAAAGGTGCAGCTGCTTGCTCAATTACGTGTCAGCTCAGTGTTGGCCTGGCCTAGGGTAAGAGCAGCTGACCTTCTGGCAAGGAAGGCTGCTCGTTCAGGCTCTTTCTCTTTCTCCCCGCTTCGGGTCCCTGCTGGTTATAATCATCTCCAGGGCACCTTCAGGCTCTTGGGACCGCAGGAGGAAGGTGAAGGTGCTGGAGGTTTGTAAGAAAGTAAAAGTCCGCTACAAAGACAATGCGCTTTTCAAAGCTATCCCTATTTTTCCCGTAAGCAGGTATTGAGGGAGTTTGGCTCCAGAGGAAGGTCTCTTTACAGACGCTTTCGTACAGCACTTCTTCCGTGTCTATTAAAATCTCTGAGGCGACTTCTCTCATCATTTCCCAGTCATCACCTAGAGTGAAGCAGTACTGCATGTAACTTTACCCCTTTAATTCTCTTTTTAGCAAACCACTATCCTGGCTCCCAAGGGTCTGCTAGGATAGATCCGTGCATCTAACCTACAGAAAGGGCAAAGCAGATCTGCTTCGGCAGCTTATCCAGGTCTGGCTCCTCCCTTGCCTCGCTGCCCAAGGCACTTACAACCCTTGCATTCAGAGAGCAGCTCACAGCAACTAACACCAAGTCCAAAGACCCATTTGCAGTTCTAAAGGCTGGAGCTGGGTCTCCCTCGACCTGAGGCCTGACCAGCTCTGGAGGGAGACGGCAGCGCTCCCTGCTCTGGTGGGTCTACCCCGATTCGTAGAAATGAAGGAGCCGGTCTATCCAGCCCTCATTTTCCTTGTTTTCCCAAGGCTGCTGAACCTTTATAGCTTTATCTTTATAGCTGACTTTGCTGCCTGCAACGTTTTGAACGTACACTCTGTGCATGTACGAGGGAAATGGAAAAACAAGATCATAAATTGTTATCAAACTAAGATTAACTAAGATTTATATATATCGCCTTTTTGAGTCAAGGACATTACAGTTTACTCTGATGCAACGGGCTCAGGTTTTTTTTTTCTTTGTTTTAAATAATGTACTGTGAGAAAATAGATACCCAACAAATAACTATTTTGGCAAACCTTAATGCAGTAAAAATATTAAGAGCGCGTTGCAATTCACCTCACCTCTCCAGTTTCAAAAGGAAGAATAATATAAATGGAATGTGGACAAAATAATGCGCCTCTAAAAGTTGAAATATGGAACAGTTCCAAGCACTTGCAAAAAAAAAAAAAAAAAACCAAACCCAAACCCAAAGCCCAGTAATGACTCACAGCTCGGCTTTTCTGGGTCTTATCAACTACCTTTGCTATCAAGGTTTTAATGATTTTGGATCCTGCAAAGCCATATAGGTAAGGAAGCGCAAACTACCGCCTCCTCTCCTTCTCTAGCTAAAGGGAAGCAACAGTTATTGTTGGCGATGCCCACTGCGCTCAGCAGAGCAGGATCTGGGCAGCGTGTGTGACCCCAGCACGACGCAAAGCATCTTGCTTTTGTGACGGGATCAAACTGCGAGTGGATCCAGGTTTTCACACGGCATCCTCTTGTATACTGAAAACTAACCCTGAGACTTCCGAAACGAGAAGGTCTCGGCAGGTTTTGGAGCAGGTCTTTAACGAGAACCGTTCTGCCGGGCCAACACCTTACTCCCTCAGAGCTGGGCCGGGCAGTGCCCGGTGAGCAGCAAATCGCCTCCACTGGCATCAAACAGGGCACCGCGACATTTTTCTGTCCAAACACCCTCCCTTTTTTCCAGCTCTCTTCTGAGAGAGGACGGGCTGCTCAGGGAATTCCAGGTCTACTTCTCAGCGCCACCCTCTCCACCACCGCACGCCCGGCCTCAATGAAGGCTCTGCAAAGTGTTTGCCCTACTGCTGATGCCCAACCACTTCACATGCCCGGCTTCAGGCCTCGCTCTGAAATCACGGAAAGAACAGTTGTGAAATACCACTATCAAACATTCCTCTCCAAAGCTGCTGAAGAAGTTCTCCCCAAAGCAGGCGTCAGCTGCTCCCTTGATGTTTCCTGGTGTTTACTGCTGCTACGATACTATCGCCGGATTCGCCCTCCCGGGCCTCCAGCCTGCTTTACCTTATCAAGTTGGGACACAACCTCCCATAAGAGGGAATGCAAAACTGAGAGCTCTCTGCCCAGGTCGATGTAGCCCTCAAATCCAGGCATGTTGGAGATGGTATCCGGATTAGAGATCTCCAGGAGAAAACGCTTCATTCCTCCCCACTCGTGTTCCAAAAAGTCATTCATGAAGGCCATATACTCCTCCTTATTACCAAACCTGTGAGAAAGAAAGGGGGGGCAGCCCAGTCAATAACCTCCACACAAAACTCAGAGCAGAAGGTGCTTACAGACAATTACTTAAACGCTTAACTTTAGACCTGCCTTTCTGAAGATTTGGTCTGGGAAAAAAAAAAAAAAAAAAAAAAAAAAAAAAAAAAGACAATTTAAGACATTCACTGCTTTCTTGGACTTATTTAAATACTAGCAATTCACTATTCATATTATGATCAAGGGCTCAACGCATCTCTCCCCGCTTCCTCCTACAGACACCCTTTCTCTCTTCCCCCCCCCCGTAAGAGACATGCCATGCCCTTTGTATCATTCAGCTGGGAATTTTGGAGGAAGAAAGGAGGAAAATCATGATCTTTGGTGGGAACAGGCTTTTTTTTTCCTTTTGAAATAGCATACACACTGACATGCTAATGCATGGCTGCTCTTGGTTTTATACTGCGTCCCCTCTGCTGAATTCAACACAGCCCAAATCTGCATGTGAAAAGGAGAATTTATCTAGCTCCAAACTGAAGTGTCTCAAGGGGAACAGCGTTCACATAGAAGTGAGAAGTTTCCTCCTTTTCTAAAGCTGACTGCAATTTGACAATCAGCTGCCTGCAAACACCAGTACCAAGCAGGGCTCTCCTTGCTCCACAGTCACCCGCAGTGACTTGCACCCCCAGAGGCACAGATTTCAGCTTTACTGTCACCACCTACTTTGCAAAATTGGCGAGATTCTGAATGACTTTAGCAATAAGTGTGAGCGTGCGAGATGTCCGGTCGTCAGGGTACTCCTGCATGAGGCTGAAGAGGCTGGGGGACATGATAGCGGGGCACAAGAAGCGAAGGAAGAGGGAGGCACTGATCAGGCGTTCGCTGATGTCCTGCTTGCCCCTGCTCAGGCACTGCTGCTTCCAAGATGCAAACACCTCCTTCAGCTCGCGAGGGAACACGCTGAAAAACAATGAACCAGGACACGGGCCATGAGATGCAACGGGTTGAACTGGTGACCAATCACCTGAAATAATTATCTGTCAGAAAACACCATCAACTCTTTTTTTTTTTTTTTTTTTTTTTTTTCCCCCTTTTCTCTCTCTAGGCTAGGAAATGTCATCAGGCACCTATTCTTAGATCCCCATTTAATCTGGTGATGTTTAAGTAGTCTTTAAAGCATCCCTTGTTCGCCTATGTGAAGTGAAGCCATATTCAGACATACTGATTTGTGAGCTGGGAGCTACTTATCCGTCGCCACCCTGGCGAAAACAGGGTGTTAGAATGTTAAAAACAAACAGAATCAAACTGAACTCATCTCCGTAACTGACATTTTTTGTATTGCTTGTTTAGTGCTCTCAATATTCTGCATGTGCTTCATCCTGAAGCAGAAAGGCCCTTCTCCTTTCACTACTACTCAGAAACAGAGATTAATAGAAATCTCTCTGCCAACGTTTCCACCCTGTGATTTCCCGTCCAATTCTACAGACCTAAAGGGCCTGAAAGTTTCCTACAGACATCAAAACTTTCAGCTTTTCTTTCCAAGTTCAAGCTAAGCTGTTATCTTCTCACTTTATTCAGCCACAGCTCAGTATGTGTTCCCTTGGCAGAGTATTTCAGCAGAAGCTCCTGTCAGGTATGGTGTGTGGAACCCCTCAGTTTGGGCACAAGTTCCACCTGCAATATGTGTCACACGTAGGAAGGTAGTGAGGAAGGGAAACGCAGGCAGTCTCAGAAGACAGATGGGTCCACGCTATTTCCCTGTACTACTGCTGTTTTCTCATCTTCAGAGGAGGAATGGGCACCCTCTGAGCAAATGACCTAACGGGGTGGGGGGGGGGGGAGAAGGGGAGGGAAGATGCCTCACCAGTAAGAATTGATAATCTTGCAGAAGGCCAGCTCACAACACATCTTCAGGTTGCTCTGATGATCTGTTAATTCACTGGATGAACATTTGCTGGGATCCACTTCACAGTTTTCATCTGACTCATACAAAGCCTTGATAAACTCCCCTGGACAAAGGGAAGAGGATGACAAACCAGGGTAGTTACACAAAAAGCCTCCTTGACGCACCTTTCAATCCTGCTCTTTCCTTGGCAACTGCCTCTTCTGCTCCCCGGGTCTGCAGTGCAGCCTCCAGACAGCAGATGTTGGGGACACGACCCCTCCCAGCTCTTTCGGAGCTGAGCCCTTGCGGCTGTGCCGGTGCTTCAGCCCCCCCCGTGCCCTCGCTGCCCCCAGACACAGGTGCAATAACAGGACGGCTTCGCTTATAAACCCTGCAGACGCTTCACTTATAGCCCAAAGAACAGAATTTGACTTTGCATTCAAACTGTATTATCAACTACAAAATTATCCACAGCCTCAGAAATGAAGCTGTGCTATTTGTCTTCATAATTTCCCCAGGAAATGCACTTGACAATGCTATTTATTTTTATTATTTTTAAATTACCATTTTTAAAAAAATTTAAAAAGTGTCACCTTGTTCTTCAGCAAGAGTAATACCCGAGTGCTAGACAGATACTGCTAATTTTCTCAACACCTTGCAACATTTTTATAGCCTGCATCTTTCAAAATTCTTTGCATTTCTGCCATCCTTCTCTTACGGCATCGCGACAGAAACTGGACGCACACAAAACCGGTTTCCTTTGTTTGCCATATTGGAATGAACTACTTGCTAGTCTTCCTCCTATACATGCTAGCATACCGAGTGATTTTTAAACTGTTGTTGTTCACTAGGAAAAACTCTTTATTCATTCAGTTAATGATTCAATGTCTTTTAAGTTCATCTCCTCAGACGATCTTGCTGGCTCCGAGCTAACACCACAAGGCTTGTTTGTGCAAAAGAGTTTTGGCTTTTTTGCCTTTGTTTTCATTAAAAACCCTGAAACACCTCCCAACCCCCCTCCCCAAATCTCAAGTCAGCAGTGTTCTTGCAAGCCAAGCAGGCAGCACATTTTCTAAAGCTTTTTTTTTTTTTTTTTTGGGGGTGTCCAAAAAATTTCTGCTGAGGGCATCTAGATCACTTACTTGTAAAACTCTTGGCTTCGCTAATGTTGAGCCAATTCTGTTTTAACTGCTGTTTACTGGATAATATATATTTTTTTTTCATTAAATACATTTGAAACTTACTCTTTGTGGTCCATAAGACCCTGCCCTAATCATATACTAAGACGGTCTTACAGATGTATTAAATAGCTAACACCAAGTGTAATGTTGTTAATCCTTTCAAAGCACATGGCATCTGAGCAAAACGATATTTAGAACTTGACAAATAATTAGATGGGTATATTGTCATGAGTAACCTTGCCTTGAGCTACAGACTAGCTAGATGACCTTAGGGGGGATTTTCCATCTCTCATGTCTGTGATTTACAATCTTATCACCCAGCTCTAAATGATGTATTAGAAGGCATCAATTTTAAAATATTTTTATGCAATTACTGCACATTAAGGGGCTTGCAATCAAAAGTAATACACCGGTCCAACAGCTGATCGTTCAGTCTGCTGAAAAGCAGAGCACAAAGCCCTACACTGCTCACTTCTCCATGCCAGGCGAGAGCCTAGCACTGTGACTTATGCTCAGCGGTTCCACCCAGGAGAACAAGACTACCAGAAGAGGCTCATTACACTTAAGGAATGGCCAAAATGCTTATAATCACAGACCTGACTATACTGACCCTTGGAGCACTAATTTAGCCAACTATCTCCTTGATGACTTGCCAGCGTCTGGAATTGCTGAGGACAAGCGAGACTGCTGGGAAAGCAAGCTGCTTTTTTTTTTTTGTTGTTGTTGTTTGTTTGTGAAAGGATGTGGTGTGGGACCGGGCTTTGGCCTGATCTTGTTTCTCTTGTACCAATTTCCAAAGCTTTCTTCATCCAAGAAACAACAGGGGGATGGGTGGCTCATTGTGCAATCGTGGATAACAAAGATTGTGGGGAGTTGGTAAAAGCTAACTGTAGCAAGGCACGTAGAGAGCATACGTGGTTTTGGTCTTCTTTATTGCAGTATTAGTTGTGTGGACAGTAATTCCTAAGGCACTGGCTTATGACTAGAGCAGAACCTTTTGGTGGAGAGGGGACAATAATGCAATCATCAGAATTCACCCTGGCACGTAACGGCGGACATTAAGGCCCCGCGGGGGGAATGGAGTAGGACCTCACAGGCTGGCCAAGCAGTTTTAACGAGGCAGTGAATAAATAGAACTTTGGCTAAACACAGGCAGGAGGCTCCCTAGACACTCTGCATCTTGATCTCCTGCCCCGTGCTGCTCAGAAGCCCTGCAGACTCGCTCCCTCCGGCCACGTTTGTCCACAGATTTTTGTTGGGGCAAGGTACCAGTTTAAAAGTTTAACACAAATATTTACGAATTAATTGCTGGTGGCAAAGCTAAGGGCCGAGCAAGTCCAAGGGTCTCTCTGGAACGTGCCAGCATTACCAATAGTTACAACTGAAGCATCCAGAAATGAATTTTCGTGTACAACTTGGAATCTACCCAAGCGCTAGGGCGGGCACCTCGTGCTTAACACTTGTTACCACCACAGCTGACGTTTGCTGTCAGCTACAACAGCAAGTGGCAGAGACTGCCCGGAGACACCCCAGCAATACGTACCTGTGGATGAGAACTCTGGTTATCAACCAGGTGCCCCTGAGAACATCTAACCCCCCAGGTGGTGGCACTTCAGGCCTAAAGTGAGTGCAGGAGCTTTTTTGGCATAAAAGATTAGTGAAACACGCTTCACATTCATAACCCTTTCTGAAATCTTCACCTAATTGTATTGCCTATGATACCAGATTCACTCCTGGCATCACAACACAAGGTATTGGTCTCAATTTCCACTGTTAAACTGTGTCAAAATCCCTTTTTTAAGCCCGTTCGTGTATTGGTTTGAACAATCACCATTGCCCACAAGCCAACTGCAGTATTATACCTCTTCACCACAAGACACACAAAAGAAGGTTACCCAGAAAAACGTAACGTGGTGATCCAAACTTCAAGGGGGACTCAGCTATATCAAACCAAGTTTGCCTTTCCTTGAGCGCTACACTCCTGCAGGCACCCAAGAGCATCTTCCTCTGCGTGGAGGAAAGGGCATCGAAGGTAAGACAGCACATATTTTGCTCTCTGGAGACCAGACACCTGGGCTGAGTGCTGAGGCAGTTCCTTCCCATCCCACATCTCTAGGTGCTTCAGCCACGGGCAGGGTTAGCCCTCGCAATGCAAAGCAGTGGCAGACAGGCACTTTCTTACCTAGTGCATCGTGAAGATACTTCTGCCCTACCAACTTCAGGTATTCCTCAATAGCTTTGGTAGCAAGTGTGTTCTCCCTGAAGATCAAGACATCATGCTCCCCACAGCGATCTACCTCAGACATCACCAAATCCGTCAAGAAGTCCTGAAGAAAAAGGTCAAACGGCAAGAGGTTATTTTAGGCAGATTCAGCCATGGCAGGCTAGCTGCAGAAGCCAAGAAGGAAGGATAAACAGAGGAGTCAGAGCATTACCAAAATAATTGCTCAGCTTGGGACAAGGGGTGCAGATGCTACATGTAGTATGGGCCAATTATGCTTCTAAAAAAAAATCTACTTATTATTATTTATACTTATTAAAAAATCTAGATAAGATCACTTGTTAAATCTATGTAAGATCACAAATTATAAAGGGAGAAGTAAAAGTCTCTAAAAGAAAACCTTTACAGCCAAGCTCGTGTTTCAGTTTAGATCCCAAACAGAAACCCTCACCTGTTTATCAGTGGCTTTGTCTGCTGAAAGAAACCATGATTCTGGATTTGTTTTTAAATACTGAATATTGCATACACACTTGGATTTAAAAATCCAAAATGAAAGTTAGGCACAAGTCCTTACAGCTTGGTGAAATTTAAATAAGAAGAATGGCTTACATAAATTAAATTCACAAACCAAAAGTGGTTCAGGCTTTGGGAAAATACTTAACATGCCTGCTGTGCATCTATATTGCTTAACTTGAACTGTATTCAAATGCCTAGGCAGGAACTATCAGCGAGTCTTGATACAGCGAACAACCTCTTGATATAGGGTCTAAATTCTACAGTAATACTTATTTCCCGAAGCGAAATGTGAATCAAGGGCACTCAGCATTTCACAAGAAATACTTGGTATTTTGCAAGATCCAATTTCAGCCACCATCAAGATCTCCAGGAGAGGAAGAGTATTTCTCCTTTTCTTATTTTTTTTTCTTTTTTTTTTTTTTCTTTAAACTGTTCCAAGGAAAATGAACCCCCCAAAACCAAAACATCACCCTGAATTAGGGCTGAGTGGTAACTGTGACTTGCCAGTTCTGCTGCAAACAGCAGCATCCTCCAAACAGTTCAGAGTGCTGTAGCAAAGTTTCATAAACCCATTAACTACAGGAGCCATAACGCCCTGCTAGCATATGAGTGTAAAATATGCAGAACAAATGATATATGATAAATATAGATCAAAAATACATTTAATACCCTTGGTTTTCAATCCATTGTTGCTTTTTCTTTTCAGCAAAATCCGATAGAATTATTGTCACCTGGCACAAACTGGGAACATCCAGCTGCATCACCAGCAACACAGTGTGAACTGGAAACGTACCCGCTTTGCAGCTTTAGGTTACGGCAGCCTAAGGTGTTCAATGCTTCCAGTAAATAGAGGTTCAAACAGCCGGGCACTAGGAAGGCAAAGTTTTAACACTAGTTTATCTACCTGTTGCAGCTAGCACTGCAGGAACCCAGAGCCTGCTTTCCAGGAGGATTTCAACACAACCCTACAGGAGCTATCCCAGCTCCCAGCTTCTCTTGATCAGACAAACAACTTGGTAAGGAATGAGTTCCTATCACACGCTGTCACAGAGCACCTGCCTTCCCGAGGTGTATGCCAGGGGGAGAACAATACAGAGCGGCATACGGTTATGCAAACATAAAGGGACATTTCTGGAGCAGTTAAATTAGTCTGTCCCTTGGATGTTGCTGTGGCCGTACTTCCACACCTCCGACTTGTGTTTGGTCGTGCTTAACTTGCTCTAGTTGGCATTGCTGGAAGAAGCTGGCTACAGCTCGGTACTGCTCACACCCCCAACTTGGCAGGCAGCATCCAGACAAAATGACGCTTGACAATGCTTCTCAGAATATCCCCAAGACCTCCATGATACTCTCCCAGAATCTATTTGAAGAAACTGAGGCTCACTCCAATTGCTGCCTCACAGAGAACCATCACAGTGTGCACCCAGAAGTCCTAATGACATCCTTGGGGCAGGTGGGATCACCGGTAACCGAGTACAGATTCTCCACATGGCTGTTCAAACACTGACCATATCAATGTTAGCACTGGCTAGCTGACTTAGCACTGAATCAACAACGGCACCCTGCTGCTCACTGTATCAGACACTTATTTATAGAAGTAATTCTCCAGTTTACTAACTTCTGTTTTACTTATTTCTTATCCTGTATCATGATTTTAGAAATACAGGAAAGGTTCCTGAACACTCAAGTGCAGGCCCTAACTTTTCAAAACAACATGAAGTTATATAGTCCTCCCACTTATACTCTGTGCTCAGCATCTTTAATCTTTGTATCGACTCTCCATCATCACCATAGGTATTGTGCCTATCTACGTGCCATCCTGGTAGATGCCACTGCCCAGGTCTCTCCAAATACTATTGAGACCTTTTTCTGAGCCCCATCAGGCACCTTCAGCTGTTCCCTACGGCCATGGGCTTCCCAGTTTCTAGCTGAAAAGATATCTGCTATCAGCAGCGAGAGGGAGTCGTTCTGGCAGGAGCCTCCTGCTCTTACCTTCGCTCTCCCGGTGCTCTGAAGAATGTGCACCAAAGCACAGGCCATCTCTTCCTTATTCCTTACGCTGATCACGGGTTCCAGCACTGAGCACAGCATAGTGTAGTTGCTGGTAACAAACTCTGCAAATTCTTTGTATTGCTCCATGGGCAAGATGGTGATGGTCTGATAACGGGACTTTATCCGAATGGAAGGTCCCCCCGATTTCCCTTTGTTGGGTGTAGGTGTGCTGACCGGGTACCATTTTTCCACAAACTGGCGACCGGTTACACTGGCCATGGGAATGTTGACCAGGCCTACGTAATTGTTCTTGTCCTTTTTCTTCTTTTTCTCCACATCCTTGTAGATGTGAACTGTGATGCTGTGAAGAGGTGGGAGACCGTAGAACTCAAAGTGCTCTCCCCAGAAAATGTTATCTGCTTTTGTTTTGCTGGTGGTGCGGGCAAAGAGAGTGTCATCAAGGCACAGCTCACAGAAGTATTTCTTCTTGGGGGCCAGGTCCTTTGCCTCAATGATCCAGAGACGGAGAACATTTTCCGCTCGACGGCAGTTGTCCTGTGCAGAAGAAAGAGCTCAGCTTTGATTCAAAATCCCTAAAAATTGAGTATTTTGTCTTCTAAGCCAGCAGCAAAGGGCTGCCTTTTGTGTCCAAGGGAGGGACAGAGTCAGAATTCAGAATCAGATTCTCTGATCTTCAGAGAATCAGAATCTCTAGGAAATCAGACATTTTCTAAAATAGAGGCAAAGGGCTCTCTTTTGAATGTCAGAGGTGGGGACTACAGCTTTTTTTTTTTTTTTCCTCAAAAAGCTGCATCTGAAATGCTTTAGAAAACAAACACTCTGCACAGGAGCCCCTCCAAAGCTGCTAGGCTGCTGTGGCACGCTGCCTTGTTCACTCTTGTGAACAACTGCAAGAGCACTGTTAGCCTGTCCCCCAAAGGTGGTATACCAATTACAGAGGTGACTTATTGGATATTTCTGGCTGATCAGTAACTCGGCCCCCCCTTCTCACTCCACCTCCAATTCCTTCCTCCCGACCCCCCAAACTGTGCCCCCACAAGGTAAAGCATGAAACCTATGAAGCCACGTCCCATCCTTCTGAGGTGCCTGGTATCAGAAATCCAGCCTGGAACATCACAAGCAGGCACTGGGGCAGGGATCAGGAAGCACGTCGACACGTATTTATTCATTAAAGTTTTGACCCACTGCACTCACCAGAATAGCACACAGCAGCTTCTGATACACTGATGAGCGGGCTTCTCCCCAGACTAAATTAACTGAGGATGCATCTGTGGGAAGCCCTGGTACACTGGACTAAAATCCAATCGTACCACCTCTGTTCCCCTGGTAATCTTATTTCTACGGTTTCTATTACCTTATTTGGCTGCACTGTTCTGCGTAGATTTTCCATCCACTTGTCCCTCTCCGCTGCAGAGGAACAACTGAAGCATTTACTGCCACTGGAGTAGGTTACCTGGAACATATAAATGACAGGCTGAGTTCAGCCAAGCCTAGGAGACATGCAAGAGGCTGCAAAAAGCAAGGAACGGGATAAGCAATGCTTGAGCAACAGTATGAAAAAGGCAGAAAAACAATATGGGAGCCTAGAAGGCAGAGAACTTAAAAGGCCCACAAAATGTAGAGAGAAAAAAAGAGTCAGTTTAAATTAATATAAAATTAAAGAAACATAAGAGAAGCACCAGAGGCTCCTCTTAAAGACTCTTCAAGACTTTTAAACAAAGATTTAATCAACCAGTTAATTTTTTTTTTTTTTTTTAAACACTTGTTAATTGACCCATAGCTATTAAATGCTTGCAGTTTTCCCAGTTAAATCCCAGAGGCAGATGATCTGGTTACTAACAGTGTAAAGACAGACAGAACAGTGTATTAATACAGGGCAAAACATGCCGGAAATGGTGTCTTCAGCAAATACAAAATATTTCCAATGGTCCATATATACATCAGTAGTTTAAAACAAACCAAAGGAGTTGAGCTCTGATCCGGCCCTGCCACCCGATGCCACACACAACTCTGCAACTCTGCTTTCAGGCAGGAGGGAACCACCTTGGTTTCTTCCCCTTTTACGTGGCCTGACAAGCTTCATTTACTCCTTCCATTCATTTGCGCCCACAAGTAAGAAGCATTTTGAGGCAGTGGCCTCAGAGCTAAGCTGTTGCCAGTTTTTTCGCTCAACTCCCCCAACCTAAGCAAGCTGGAAAGTGCTTCCAGCCAGAAGAACGAGACTGAAGCGAACGGGAACAGCTCCTGGATACATCCCGAGGGAGAAGGGCCTGATATGCTGGCTTTCTGCCAAAGCAGTTCTCCGGGTTGCAAGCAGATCTTCGTTCCAGAAGTTTAGACACATCTGACTAAATTCTGTTGAAGACAGACTGCCACCCGCCCCTGCCGCGCCAGACTGCGGCGGGCTCGGACGCGCCCCAGTCGCACGCACGGATACGCTGTCGGTCCTGCAAGGCGAGGACCCCGCTGGCACGCCCAGGCTGTCTCGGCAGCAAAGCCAGGAGCCACGCAGGCCTGTGCTGAGACGGCAAGAGGAGCTTTGCCTCCTGCTCCGTGGTGCAACGGACACGTCTGTAGATACCGAAACCTCTTCTTTAGCAACTGGAGGACGGGCTGAGCTAATGGAAGTGGGGCTCTGACTGGAAATCTTACTTGTCAGTTACGGTCTATTTTCTAAATTTAGTTTTAGGTGAGTTTGGAGAGCATGAATACACAGCTTATGAACAACCCTACACTTGTACGCAAACTACAAATGCTTAGATATTTACCAAACTAAAGAGATTTTTCAAATAGAAGACGCAGTAATTGAAAAAGATTCCTCTCCGCGGAGCGACCGATGCCATTAGCTTCAAGGACTTTAGAACCACATCTGGCCTGACAGCCCCCCCCCCAAAAAAAACCTCAGGATGGCAGCGGCTGCCGATCTGTTCTCCAGTTACAAAGTCCTGGCACAGCGTAGGGCAGGGGCTCAGACCGACTGACAGCGTATAATAATCGGTTGCGTGTTTGGAGAGCGTCCTTTACCTCAAAGCAGAAGTCTTGTCCAAGGATACTGCTGTGAAGTGGCTTGACGAAGACTTTTTCTTCTGACCCGAGGTCCAGGGCCTCCACGGCGCTGCCGGGGCTCAGTAAGGACTCATGGGAACGGGACTCTTTCAGCTTTGGCAATCCGCGTGACCTGGAGGAGAACAAGGGGGAAAGGAAACATTATTTTTCTCGCAGTTGCCGAAAGAGTTGGCAAGATCCCAGAGAAAGCTGCAACTTGTCGGTGTTTATTCAGAAAGACTTCTACAATTAGTCTGTAAACCTTACAAAAATAGCATCAGGCCAGTAACCCCGGGCTCCTAAGGAAATACCCACCTACACAAGCCCAGCAAGTCCATTCCTACCTACCTAGAAATCGTAGATGCTGAGCCATCAGTGAAAGAACAGCAAAAGAGAAAGTTCAGAACTTAACTGCTGAAATTTAAAGAAACCCCATAGATAGGTTTGGATATACTACTGAAAATATTTACTGCTATCTAAATTACTAGATAAATGTTAACATTTGTATTAACAGCAAAAAGCACACCAATCTATGAACCTTTAAACCAATGCAGAACGACAGCTACTCAGCGGATGATCCCCCCACAATACACTTGATTTTTCTTAATAGACAAAGACTTTAAAATAAAGTCAAATACGCAAATTCTTTCCCACTTCACAATGCTCAAATCTGTTACCTACATTTAAATTCTTCATTTTCTTCTTCAGCTGCTTCTAGTTTTAACCGTTTTCAAATTCTGATACCTCCATTTTCTTTTAATTTCCCCCTCACTGACACATATTGTTTTTCACTGTTGTTTTGTGTTGCGTTGTTTGTTTTTTGTTTTGTTTCATTTGTTTGTTTGTTTTTTCTTAATCGACTGACCTGTAAATCCCTGAGCTCTACCAGAGCTGTCATCTCCCAAATTCGCAGTACCTTTTTATCAATGCTGTCTTCTCTTTGTCCCCACCAGTTCTTGAATACTTCTCAAAGACATACCCCTCCCTCCAATATGCTGTAGCATTTTGTAACCAACAGCACCATCACAAGATGTGCTCTAACACTTTCTGAATTCTCCCAGTTTGATTTAAGGCGACATTTGTGCATAGTAGGGAGTTCGGCTGTCAAACAGCACTGTAAAATGTGCTCAATTTGTAGGTGACAGTGGCTTCACCTGTGCTCCTTCTCAGGAACTAACACCTGGACTAGAAGCTTCTGCAATAAAGTTGTATGCTACTTTAGCACAATTAGCATTTCTACTTCAAAAAGGTAAACACTGTGTGCACACGCATCTTATTTTTCCTCTAGCTGGAACTCAGAGCCTTCACAGACGATCAACGAGGAGGAAAAGCAGAGTCCCAGCTTAGCAGAAAAGGAGCTGTTTACCTGGCTGGTCTAGACTTTGTTAAGATATTGAAGCTTGTGCTGCTACCTGTTCAGTGATCCATGAATATGTCCATAAATATGGCTGCACATCCAGCAAGTGTGACTGCGCACAAAGAACAGACGTGAAAGTAGAAAAGCATCAGCTGTCGGTACATTACGCAGAGTAAAGCAATGCTCTGAAACGATGCTTTCTCACCTGTGTTTGTCCTCACAGTATTTCCTCTTTTATTCATTTCGCAGTATCAAGGCTCAGTATCAAATGGAAAATGCTTAAAAAAATGTATTTATGGAGGACTGAAAAGCACAGCTATCTCTAACAGCTTCCTTAATTTTGAAAAGTAAGTCGTTTTTATATTCTTCCCTCCTATTCAAAAAAATCCTCGTCTTTTGTAAGCTTAGCAAAACGAAATTCCTCCTACCCTTGAGTAATTCTAGGGGGAGACAGGAAAAAAGCAAAAAACAACAAACATTTGGAAAAGGCGTCTTCAGTACTTCTAAGGCTGCTTAACAAAAACTTGGGTATCATGGAGGAGACATCTAAAGCAACAAGCAGAGTTCACCTGACTGCTCTTTTGTACAACATGAAACGCTGAAGGGATTCTAGCAGATTCCATGTACGATAAGATTTATTAAACAGTAAGGGAGAACTTTGTTCCCATTTAATATATTGAATGACCTAAGTGCAGGCAGCAAAAACCTTTCATCAGAGGGATATTACAAAGACACTGATTTCAAATGCAAAACAGCAGCACCGGTACAAATGCGTTGGCTGCACTGTGCATGCTTTGTTATAACAGGTTACAGCAGCAGCTGTACCAACGCAAACCCAAAACCTCAGCCATGTATAATTGAACACTTGCTGCAGTTAAGGTAGGGCAAGTCTAAAATAAACACACCACAATACACCACTTTAATATCATCTCTGCAAAATCCTCTCTAATTTCTCCTCTCAAGAAAGCACTGCTGAGGTCACTTGGCTCCTGTCCCTATCCCGAACTCTCAGCAATTCCAGTCCTAACAATGTGCTTCGGTGCCTGATGCAGGGGAGCTGGCTGAGAGCCTGCAGCCAGCTCCCGCCTCAGCTCCTTGTCAGAGAAGGAAAGCATGGAGTGGTCACAAAGAGGGGGGGAGAGGAGGGAAAGAAAAATAATTACCGAGTAAAGGAGAAAGCAAAAGAGCTTTTGCAAATCCCAGCTAAGCGGAGGCTGCACTTGGAGCAAGACAAATCAAGCACACCTACATGAAACAACTGTACAGCCACTTAGCAGTGCATCCCCAAATCATTGCGGTGCCACATGTCACAGCCCTTCCTCTCAAACTGCGTTCTCGGGGCTACATCTCAGACAATAAATCCTGCCGGGAGAGGAAGACAAGCACACAAATCCAGGAGCAGCTCCTCCTCAAGCCTTAGGTCACAAATTTCAGGCGAGCACCGTGCCAAGCAGCTACGCTGGGGTGAGAAGGGAAGTCACAGCCGCGCCGGTACAGAAATCTCCGTCCCCGTCGGCTGTGCTCACACCCGGCCCCACGGGTGACACGAAGAGGCTCCCGGGTGCGTGTTGCCATGGTGCGGCCTCCTGTGAGGGGATTAGGGGGGGCCGGCAGCCCGGAGAGGCCGCTCCGCAGACGTGGCAAAGGTGACCTTTCCAGAAAGAAAGAAGTCCCTCCTCTTCCTTTCCTAAACAACGAGCTTAACGAGGCCCGGACGGTTAAAGACGGCGGGGAGAGAGCGAAGCATCTTCCAAGAATGCCTGCCAACAGCCTTTGGGGACAGGGTGGGAGCAAAGGCAGGTAGGCAGAGAAATCCTACTCCGTGCCTCCACGTCCCACCTTGCAAGTTAAATCTTTTAGTAGCGTCCATTCTGCTTCGTTCCTCTTCTAACGAGTTAGCTTTGAACATTTTGTTGCAGCTCAGCTGGAGCTCGGTTAGTTTTGTTGACCCAGGGTCCTAGGGCAGAGGAATGTCTACCGGTTCGAGCAATCCCTTGAAGCTACCATATTTAAAACAGCTCAATAAACTGATTAAGTGGCTTAGAATTGGCACTTTATCTTCCATAAACACCACAGCAGTGTAGTAAAGATGCTGGTTAGATGCAACCACACGCATTTACAAACACAATTACATGCATTTGTAAGTACGGTGGTATATGTTGCATCTATTGATAGATCCGCAAAGCAAATCATTGACTTGTGCCTAAATCAGCAGCATTCCAATCAATATAGGCAATAATTATACAGAAATAATAGTTCTCTGCTGCTTTAAAGCCTCATTTGATATTCTGAAGCTGTAAGTAACAATGAAGGAAAACTGCTCGCTGGCTTCCCTTTTGCACAGAGGCAGTTAATAAACTGATGCCACTAACGTGCTTCCTAATGTCCAGCAAAGGGGCTGGATGAACAGGGTCTTTCCTGCATCAGGTAGGAAGCTACTGATAAAATGAGTGTTGCTGAGAGTCTCTGTTAACAGAGAGGTAATCCCAGAGAAGCAGATTACTGTCAACAGGAAGATCGCACATGCAAAAGGTGGGGGAAGGGTTGTTTGTACAGATCTGTTTCTGTTAAACAGCTCCATTAACAACCCAAATCCTGTTTTAAATGACAATTAACCTCCCACAATCAGCTTCACCCCCGCCCCGGGCTGCTTTTTCTATCTACTTCTGCACACAACAAAAAAAACTGCAAAGGACAACATAAGAGTTCAGAGTGAATAGTTACCAGCAGCATCAAACAATTCTCATGCACGTATTCTCCATAATTTCTTTCCAACGGGAAAAGCAGGTGGAAGAGGAGCATGTCAGGGAACATTTTAAACATCTCACCTCTTTTCACAGGTTTTGGAGTACTGGTCTTCAGAGCTGCATAATTTCCTTCTAAATCAGAGCCCGGCCAATGCCCCAAACCACTGACCTGGCAGCAGCCTGCGACGGCTACTGAAAAAAGATCTCTTCAACACCATCATCCTGCTGGCCCAGCCCCAAGCTGAGCCCCTCTCCTTGCACACCATAATTCAGTGATTTTCCACTACAGGAGGATCTGAGTTGTAAACCGGGCACTGGAAACCTCTGGCTTTCAGTGGCTGCCCATGGCACACAGCAGCCTATTAGCCGACTTCTAGTATAATCTACTGTCTATAAGGCATGTAGGATAAAGGGTTAAAATCCTAATTGCTCTGGTTATGAAGCTCTCCTGCTGATTTTGACCTATTTAAAAGCCAACCTACAAAGCACAAAAGGCTTTCAATCACTGATCTTACCAGGGAGAGCACTATATTGCTTGGAAAACAAGCCTGTGGACATCAATAATCCAGAAGATAAAAAAATAAATGTATAGAAATTAATTACCAAGGAACAGAACCCCATAATCTGTTTCCTTTACCAAACTGGTGTGAAGGCAAAGAATTCTGAAAAGCATTTGTTTTTCAGCCCGAGCACCCGGCTAAAGCTATGTCTCCACTGGTTTTACGCGAAACCGTACGGCCGCATGCTTCAAGTAATTCCAGCACAATACCCGTGTGTTTAGAGCCACTCCCCGAGATCAGAAAGTTGAATTCAATACTTAGCCACTCGCAAAGTCACAGGAGAGAGCTTGGTCTGTAATGCAGTGAACTTTCTGCTCAGCGCTGCTATTCGAAATCCCAGCCCTGCTGAACTGGACCCTAACGTCGGCAACATCATCTGCAATACAGGTGCGCTCTACCAGCGCTGCAGCATCAGATTTCCCCGTGCAAGTGTTCATTTTGTAGGCACCACACCCCGCTTCGTTTTCCA